CTGTTCATTCCTGGCAGCACTATTCTCCTCAGACCGTGATAATCTATTTGTACCTCTGTACTAGCTCTCAAAAGACACTTTACCACATTTAGCTTGTCAGGTGCCAATTCATCACCAAGAGGTGCAGAGCAAGCTGGCCTATCTGCATGTTCTTTCCCAATAAAATTGGCACGACGTAGAGAAAATATCCAAACAATGCTAACTACCCAGGTCCTCATAAGTGATGCTTGCCACTCTGTACAAAGCATACCTGTCCACCTTCCTGAACATACTCTACGAGTCAGTTAACATTACGATATTTGAGTACAGCTAGTTATCAAGCCAGCGGGATACTGCACTAACTGCCTGCACCTCCATTCTCAGACAGATGTTGTAGCACCATACGCCAATTAAAATCATAATATATACAGATAGGTCTGTATTGAGAGTTAAAAAGAGTGGATTGGGTTTCACTGCAAAGGTGAATGGATACTAAGTGAAAACAAAACCTTGCATACATCATTACATCAAGTATAAGAATGGAGGTGGAGGCAGTAATAGCAGCTTTCTGATGGCTTGAGAGCAGCATACCCTGACATATTGTAATTGTTACAGACTCACAGAGCAGGCTTGGGAAAATATAAACTGGTGTCCGGCTTGCATCACTTGTTAAGACCCAGATCAAGAGCATATAACAGATTTTGTCCAGGATATGCAGGTGTGCGAGTTAATGAACAGACTGATAGATTAGCTGCTGCCGCTTCTCTGGGTGGTGAGCTACTATATGATAAAGCGGATATAGTGAAGGCTCTATAGGATGAAATGGACAATATAAAAGAACAGATAAGGAAGCCATACACCAAAAAACTAATTCAAAAGAGGGGAAAGGGTTGGGGGGGGGGGGGGGGGGTTGAAATAAAGGCCTTGGAAAATTTACCACATTGAAGGGGAAGCAAAGGCAGACTTTTCATGAGGTTGCAGCTGGTACGTTTAGCATGTTATCTCTTCATTAGTTACTTAAAAAGGGGATGGAGTCAATTCCTGATTCATCCATGCCAGGCTTTGTTGCACTAAGCGACATCCATCTGATTTTGCCATGAACCTCCATGCATTTCTTCTGCCTCTGAACAGAGACATCTGTATAGATAATCACATCACCTGGCAGGGAATTGTCAAAGACTCATGTGTTTAATTTTTGATTCTGTAGCACCTGTTGGCCAGTCCCTCATTCAAAGCACAGTGTGATAAGAAAACTACAAAAGTATGATTGCTGCTTGGACTTTGACCTACTCCTCTTCTCGCACAATATTATCAAGCCTGCATACATATATACAGTAACTGAGTCTAAAGCTTGAGCCATCCAAGACTGTTCTCTTTTTTAATTCTGTAACCCTTAGCTGCAGTTTGTGGTGCTTCTTGTCTGTGGCCACCCTAAGATACACAATATAGTGCATATTCACTACAGGGGTATCTCTTGCACATACCAGAATTACCCTTTGGCTTCATTCTGTGTACATTCAAGTTTCATCAACTGATTTTTTGATATGGTAAGCATTCCAAGTCCATAATCTATCAGCAACAGAATCATTTGCTGGAACACTTTATTTCATGTCCATTGCTACCTAATCTTGAGAGCATTGAGTCCTTTTTTTGTTATTTCACCGCAACTGCCTTCTCATTACCCCTGAAGGATAGGCTTCTATCGAAAATGATACCCAGGTACCTTAGTTTGCTTTTTCTTTTAATGTTTCTGTCATTAAATGTGAGGCTTGGAACATCAGCTTTTACAATTCTTTTGTTCAGAGAGCACCATAAAACAGCCGCCTCTTCTGGATTGATGACAACATCCACTTCAGCGCACCAGTGAGTCACTTTGTCTACAATTGCCTTCCAACACCTGGTGCTTCAAGTTCTGCAATCTTCTTCCAACACCTGGTGCTTCAAGTTCTGCAATCTTGCTTGTATACACACTGACGAGCACTGGTGAAATTGCAGAACACTTGGGTAGTCCCAGGGCGATATTACATGGTTCTGAGGTCCATGTACCAAGGCGAAGGGCTACCATACATGAATTCAGGACAACTGCTATCCAGTTCACAAGCCAGGGACAGACCCACCCCTTCTCCATGAGTGCAGACATCAAAATGTCATATCTAAGTCTATTTTAGGCAGTCTCAAAATCAAATGCTGCCACTACCATTTATGTCTATTCTTGAACCCCTCAAAACATTAAAAACAAAAGTGGCTGCACTTGAACAGGTATCTTTCCCTGGCCAGCAACTACTTAAACATCTTCCCTTTCCCAAAACATTTAACAACAAAAATCTTCTTCAGTACTTTACCAAAAGTATTTTGCAGAGTAATAATCCTGAAATTGCTGAGTCTTCATTACTCATGCCTTTCATGTGGGAAACCTGACTCCATCCAGCCCTGGTGAGGCGTGGTGATATTTCTCCTTGGTTTCCTAACCACGAAACAGAATCAGGATGTCTAGGGTTTGTGTTTTATCTCAGAATATGAGACACCAAGGAGTATGAACTGCCTAAATACAGGAGAAGTGAACTATTTGAGAGCTAATCACTGGTAGGTCAGTCTGGTGACAATGTCAAACATTGTCATTCATGTAACATTATGAATATTTCTCCTTAAGAAGAACTGATGGCAATGCCTTCAACATTGTCCCTATTTTCTGTTGGCGTTTTATTTAGGAAGAGGTTGATAGTTTTGAATTCACAGTGGTGAAAGTGGTGTATATCAAATTTGACATCTCACACAACCACCAGCTTTGGGCAGAAGAGCTCAATGTGGAGCCTGCTTTGAGCAGAAGAGCTCAATGTGGAGCATGCTTTGGGCAGAAGAGCTCAATGTGGAGCATGCTTTGGGCAGAAGAGCTCAATGTGGAGCATGCTTTGGGCAGAACAGAGCTCAATGAGAAGCATGCTTTGGGCAGAACAGAGCTCAATGAGAAGCATGCTTTGGGCAGAACAGAGCTCAATGTGGAGCATGCTTTGGGCAGAACAGAGCTCAATGTGGAGCATGCTTTGGGCAGAACAGAGCTCAATGTGGAGCATGCTTTGGGCAGAACAGAGCTCAATGTGGAGCATGCTTTGGGCAGAACAGAGCTCAATGTGGAGCATGCTTTGGGCAGAACGAAGCTCAATGCGAAGCATGCTTTGGGCAGAACAGAGCTCAATGTGGAGCATGCTTTGGGCAGAAGAGTTCAATGCGGAGCATGCTTTGGGCAGAAGAGCTCAACGTGGAGCATGCTGGCTTTATCCTAAGAAGAGGAAAAGCAACATGAAAAATATAGTTAATTAGTTGAACTAATTATTTTGTAATTTTATTTACAACAGACTGTCTCCTTAACAAGCATGTCCTACAAGGTGGCTAATTAGGGGAGTTTCACTGAAGCCAGAGAGCATCTGCTTGAGAAGTAAGGAACCAGTAGTCTGCATACAAATCTGTAGAATGGGGTATCTCTGCATAAACACATGATTGTAAAAGACTCACAAAATATGCTGAGAAAGGTGGAGACAGATATGCTCCGCGCAGAGTGGCAAGCATCACTTAAGAGGTCCCTTGTAATTAGCGTGCTCTGGATATTTTCATCAGTGCATGCAGGTGTGTTGACAAACAAACAAAAGGCAAACTGGCTGGTTCAGGGCCAAATCGTGTAAAGGGATTCAGGACAAGCTAAGCAGGGTCAAGGTCCTCTGGAAGCAAGTGAACAATAAGGAAAGCACAAATAAATCATCACAGTCTGGAGACAACGGTGCTGCGCTGAGTGACCTGGGGATCCAGCTGACATTCTGCACTCAGAAGAAAGGGCAAAAACAAACTACTACAGGTGCCATCCCCACTGGAACTTTGCACTGTCTGCTGAAGACGGGAACAGTACATTTATGGGAATAGTCCGTGCGTGGTAATGTCGGTTCTCAACAATCTTCAATTTCCACATTGTGACCACAAATATCAAAATGTTTTTCCTTCCCTGCTCCAGTTAATTTCATTCATTTATCAACCCACTGTTAATGTTAACTAATTTCACAACCCACTGTTAATGTTAACTAATTTCACAACCTACTGTTAATGTTAACTAATTTCACAACCCACTGTTAATGTTAACTAATTTCACAACCCACCGTTAATGTTAACTAATTTCACAACCCACTGTTAATGTTAACTAATTTCACAACCCACTGTTAATGTTAACTAATTTAACAACAGCATGTTGCTATCTGTGATAAATAATTTATCAACAGACTGGAGTAAATTAATTTATCAACTCAATGCAGAAGTCAATTAATTTATCAATGCACTTAAGCAGTCAATTAGCCAACCCATTAAATCAGTAAATTTATTTATCAACCCATTAAATTAGTCAATTAATTTATCAACCCATTAAATCAGTAAATTTATTTATCAACCCATTAAATCAGTCAATTAAATTATCAACACACTGAAGCAGTCAATTAAAATTATCAAAACACTGAAGCAGTCAATTAATTTATTGATACACTAAAGCAGTCAGTTATTATTATCAACATACTAAAGCAGTCAATTAATTTATTGACACATTAAAGCAGTAAATTAGAGTATCAACACACTGAAGCAGTCAATTAACTTACTGGTACACTGAAGCAGTCAATTTATTTATCAACATACAAAAGTGGTCAATTAATTTACTGACACACTGAAGCAGTCAATTAATTTATCAACACACTAAAGCAGTTAATTAATTTATCAACACACGGAAGCAGTCAATAAATTTATCAACACACTACAGCAGTTAATTAATTTACCAACACACGGAAGCAGTCAATTAATTTATCAACACACTGAAGCAGTCAATTAATTTACCAACACACGGAAGCAGTCAATTAATTTATCAACACACTACAGCAGTTAATTAATTTACCAACACACGGAAGCAGTCAATTAATTTATCAACACACTGAAGCAGTCAATTAATTTACCAACAATATCTTTATAACAAATTAGATTAAATCAACCACATGTATTTATAAATATTGTTCAAAAGAACTATTTGTGCCATAATGATCCAGTTCAACATCAATCCCATCAATGTATTCATACATTGAGTCATAATCATCCGTCTCGTCATCACCATATTCATCCATTGAATCAGAATCATCCAAGTAGATATCCTCGTCCTCCTCATCATCATCATAACCTTGGTTATCATGTCTGAAACAATTATAAGCTGATCTTCAGAATCTGTTATTATTAAATCTACAAATGTTACCAGCAAGGACAACAACTGAAAGAAAACACTGACAGGAATCAATGAGGTGTGTGAACACTGACAGGAATCAATAAGTTGTGTGAACATTGACAGGAATCAATGAGGTGTGTGAACACTGACAGGGAGCAATGAGGTGTGTGAACACTGACAGGAATCAATGAGGTGTGTGAACACTGACAGGCAGCAATGAGGTGTGTGAACACTGACAGGAATCAATGAGGTGTGTGAACACTGACAGGAATCAATGAGGTGTGTGAACATTGACAGGAATCAATGAGGTGTGTGAACACTGACAGGGAGCAATGAGGTGTGTGAACACTGACAGGGAGCAATGAGCTGTGTGAAAACTGACAGGAATCAATGAGGTGTGTGAACACTGACAGGAATCAATGAATTGTGTGAACACTGACAGGAATTAATGAGGTGTGTGAACACTGACAGGGAGCAATGAGGTGTGTGAACACTGACAGGGAGCGATAAGATGTGTGAACACTGACAGGAATCAATGAGGTGTGTGAACACTGACAGGCAGCAATGAGCTGTGTGAACACTGACAGGCAGCAATGAGCTGTGTGAACACTGACAGGAATCAATGAGGTGTGTGAACACTGACAGGAATCAATGAGGTGTGTGTGAACACTGACAGGGAGCAATGAGGTGTGTGAACACTGACAGGAATCAATGAGGTGTGTGTGAACACTGACAGGGAGCAATGAGGTGTGTGAACACTGACAGGGAGCAATGAGCTGTGTGAACACTGACAGGAATCAATGAGGTGTGTGAACACTGACAGGAATCAATGAGGTGTGTGAACACTAACAGGGAGCAATGAGGTGTGTGAACACTGACAGGGAGCGATAAGATGTGTGAACACTGACAGGGAGCAATGAGGTGTGTGAACACTGACAGGAATCAATGAGGTGTGTGTGAACACTGACAGGGAGCAATGAGGTGTGTGAACACTGACAGGGAGCAATGAGCTGTGTGAACACTGACAGGAATCAATGAGGTGTGTGAACACTGACAGGAATCAATGAGGTGTGTGACCACTAACAGGGAGCAATGAGGTGTGTGAACACTGACAGGGAGCGATAAGATGTGTGAACACTGACAGGAATCAATGAGGTGTGTGAACACTGACAGGAATCAATGAGGTGTGTGAACACTGACAGGGAGCAATGAGGTGTGTGAACACTGACAGGGAGCAATGAGCTGTGTGAACACTGACAGGGAGCAATGAGGTATGTGAACACTGACAGGAATCAATGAGGTGTGTGAACACTGACAGGAATCAATGAGGTGTGTGAACACTGACAGGGAGCGATGAGATGTGTGAACACTGACAGGGAGTGATGAGGTGTGTGAATAGTGACTGGGAGCAATGCACTGTGTGAACATTGACAGGCAGCAATGAACTGTGGGAACACTGACAGAGAGCAATGAGGTGTGTGAACACTGACAGGGAGCAATGAGTTGTGAGTTGACTTAAGATGTGACCACCCCAAAACTACACACATCTCACCCTGAATGTCAAACTCCAGATACCCAATTTAACCTCCAAAGAAATTATACTAGGGCAGCTGTGATGGCTTCATCAAGTGGTGTATCTCACAATTCCATATAAGTAGGAAATTGTGAGCTGTGAGTGGGTCTTAGTTATGTTACTATAACTTTAAATGTATTCAATAATAATTTTATGTATGAAGAGGCTTTAAATGAAAACTTTAAAAGTGTGACAAAAACTATAACAACCAGGCCACTCTTGAGTAACCTGTCAATACTGTTGTTAAAGATGTCAAAACTGTGAAGCAATGTGCAGAGGAAAACAGTAATATTACCACGACTTTTTAAAGATGCCTGTTCCTTTTTGACATCCTCAAAGAGAAGCAGCACTCTGTTTTTCATTTTGTTGATAAGAAAAAATGTTAAACCTATAGAATTCATTGAGAAGTTAAACTATAGAACTCATCGGCACATGAAGCTCTAGTATGGTGATGCCTGCCTGTCAGTCCTGCAGCTGTTTGAGTGGGGTCTGAAGTTTCAAAACAGCATGGCTTCTGTGACAGTGTGTTCACGAGCGGGTGAACTGAGTAGTGACCCCACAGCTTATTGCAGCTGTTGAAGGCCTTGTATAGGAAAACAGCAGATTCAATGTGAGTGACATTGCCGCACATCCTGGACCTCGAAACGCTGGGGAATTTCTTTGGGTTTCACCCCTTCACTGATCAAATAACTGACAACAGAACACTACTCCTTTTTAAACTGTCATAACAATGTCATTTTATTCGTCTGCACTGTTATGTCACATGCCTAATACTCTTGACATCTTTAACAACAATACTGATAGGTTACAAGACAATGGCATGGTTATTGAAATTTCTGTGACACTTAGGTTTTCATTTAAAGCCCTTAATATTGACATCACCTTTCTACTGAGATATCATATTATTTCTGCATATTTGAGCAAATCTGGCAATATGATAGTTGAGTTGAATAAGAATTGACATCACAGCACTCAGGGCATTCCCAGGCATGCTCCGTCCTCATCTTCAACAGCCAGCGCAGAGTTCCAATTCTGATGGTACCGGTCACAATCTGGTTAAAAGTCTGTATTGCCTTTCCTCATAAGTCTAGTGAGCTGGCCAGACCCTCTGGTTACACCCATGTGCCTCATTCTCTCCAGGTCATAATAATCTTCTTTCTCTACTGATTCCGTTGCTTGTTCCCAAAGGGCTTTGACCACATCTGCCTTGTTGTGTATCAATTCACCACCTAGTGGTGTGGATCCAACCAATCTGTCTGCCTGTTCATTACCCACCACGCCGGCATACCTGGAGAAAAGATCCAAAGTATGCTCACCACCCGTGACCTTTCCACAATATGATAATACAGGCACTCCTCAAAGATGTGTATTGTGAACTCTAGTTCCACAACAACTGTCCTCACATTTAACTCTCTTCTTGATATCTTTTTCTTCTTCAGCTTTCTGAGCCCTTGAGGTTCATTGCTGCAGACATCATCCACCTCCATTCATCTCTGTGACTGGCTTTCTTTTTGCAGTTTGTGACTTTAAGTGTTTGCAGATCTGTCTGTATATTATCTCTCCATCGTCTTCTTGGTCTGCATCATGGTCTATGATCATTCAATTCCCTTATGTACACAGTTTTTATCTGTTTCATCTGATATTCTCTCAATATGCCACCAAGATTTCAGTCTATTAGCCCTAATGATGCCAGTGATCAATGGTGATTTAAACAGATTATGAATTTTGTTGTTATTTTTCACTCACTATTCCAGCTTTTAGCATTTCCAATGGGTCCAAATATTCACCATACGATTCAGTAAAAAAATAATTGTAATTTCAACTCTTTATATGCATAGACTTAATATACTGATATTCAGTATTCTTATTTCTGCCCTGATCTTTTGAGTTTTCTCATTGTCACCGTAGTTGTTTCATGCTGTTCAAGTAGTCTGCTATATGACAACCTAGAAGGTTTTGTTTTGTCCTGTTGGGCTAGACATCTGGTGTGAGCCAAGGGATCAGTGGCAGTTTTTCTACAAGTGACATCTACATTGTCTTCATCTTAGTAATGTGATGGTTTCCTTTATCTTCCACAAACACCCGTTTTGGGTTGCCAGAAAGCAATATTTTAAACTACCAGATAAGATAAGTCAGCACCATACTTGGTTAACCAGCCTACACCAAATTATCCATTTAACTCATGCTGGGTAACGTTTTTCCTGCTAAAATTCATTTGGATATTTATAGGCCCCAAACAGAATTATCACATCAAAAATTAGAGTGCTTTATTTGGTCAAACATTTAATTACGGCTGTTTCGGTTATGTCAGACCAAATGATATCATGGGTCCTATACGCCACATGGCCAAGATGTTTCCCATCTCGTTTTTAACTGTTTGGATTCTCAGTGGCCAGAACAATCCTAACCCTGACATGTGCCCCACACTGCACAGAAGAACAGTTGAGAATGTTCCTTTGACAAATAAAACCATCTGGCATTTTTCTCTGAGAAAGAGAGTGCGAGAGAGAAAATAAGAGAGAGAGCAAAAGAAAGTAAGGACGAAGAAGAGGAAGGAATGGAGAGAGAAATGTAAGGAGATGGAATGAGGTAAAAGAAGGGAGAGAGAATGAGGAAGAGAGATGAGATAGACGATAATAAACATAGTTACATACTCACACATTTCTCCCGTTTCTAGGGTTAGACCGTTTAACTGCAAAGGCAGAAATGTGTAGTGTCACTAAAGCACAAGAGAATATCAAATGTAAACCAAGGAAACTATTATGCAACTATCTAACTTAGCTCATGAATGTCCCTGGAAAACCCCATGTAGTTTTACATGTAAAGAGAATTTCTCTGATCTTAACAGTTTATTAAAATCTTTTAAATGAAGTAATAATGAGAGTGAGAGATTGACAGTCCCATGTATTCATGTGCCGGCACTAAGGACATTAGATGTGTGAAAATTGGGTAGTTTTTCAAAAGAATTGTAGGTAGCGTCTAAAGACATGGTATAAATGCATGGTAAAATGTTAATGAAATGATGTATCAAAGTGCAAGACAGAACAGCATCTAAAAAAAGCTCAGTATTGAATTTACATCCAAAATGTAACTCTTTAGGTCATAGTGTGCAAATCCTCAGTGAATGCACTGATTAATTTTTGGCATTTCACTGTGACTACTTCCACATGATCCCTGAAGGACAGGCTTCTATCAAAAGTGTAACCCACCTAGATACCTCAGGTTACTTTCTCTTTTGATGTTTCTATCATTAATTGTGAGACTTTGGACGTCAGTTTTTAGACAGCATAAAAAAAAAGCTGTCTTTACACATAGGTCACAGTTGTAACTGAGTGGAAAAGTATGCTGAGAAAGGTGGAGACAGGTGTGCATTGTGCAGAGTAGTAAGCCTCGTTTCAGAGATCCCAAGTAGTGAGTGTCTTTTGGATATTTCCTCAAGATATGCTGGTGTGTTGGAAAATGAACAGCCAGATAGACTGGCTGGTTCTGCAACACTTGGTGGTATACTAATTCACAACAAACCAGATGTTGTAAGGGTCCTTTAAGAGCGAGTGAAAAGTCTAGAGGTACAAATAAATCATTACGATCTGAGGAGAATGGTGCTGCAAGGATAAACCAGGGGATCTGGCTGATGCTCAACATTCAAGGAAAAGGCGAGATGGAAATGCTGTGAGACTGTTACTGGTACCATCAGAATAAGAATTCTGTGCTTACTTCTGAAGCTGGAGATAAAGCGCTTATGGAAATGCCCCGAGTGCTGCAATGTCAATTCTGGATTCAACCTTCAGGGAATAACCCAGCCAGCCAAATTAAAAGTAATAGTTTACAATTAAAAACAGAATTGCCTGAAAACTTTACACGCATTCAGTTTTGTGCAGATTATCTATTTCTATTGCAAGACAGCTAGCTGTGTATCTTTTAGAGGACGTTGCAGAACCAACCACAGCATTTTTTGGCTGTTGTGGTTTTTCTTGGCAAATTTTACATTCAGCAGTTTGCTACTGCTTTCTGAACGATCAGCTCTTGGTACCACTCTCAAAACCAACACAAGACAAACTGTTCGCAACTGGGATTGAACCCGGCACCACAGCATTACGAAGCGTGTTCACAATGTCTAAGCCCCAGACACCAAAGATGACTACACTTTTCAAAATTCCTGATAACATTCACAGAAAAAAAACTTACAGTCCTGTATCATGTCCTTGACATCAGTCTTGAGCTGTATGTCTGCAGCCTCAGGGTGTTCAAGTAAGTACTGATTTTTTGCCGCAACAGCTGCTTCCTCCATGTCACGCTGATGTATAGCACTGGGATCTGTGTTTGCACATCTGCCACAGAATAGATGGCATTTAGTTATAGCAATAATACAGACACATGTGAGGCAAAAACTGCTTGGGACGTTTGGGATACAGGTCTCTGATATTAGAGGCATAGACTATCCCCGTGTTCATCCCAGGGTCATTATGGAAAAGAAAAAGAATAGACCCATGGCTTCCCGAACAAGCATGCAGTACAAACTGACTGAACTGATGTCTTTCCTTCCAAGTCAGAGTGAATCTGCCTGTAAGTCAGGGAACCAACAGTCTGCACACAAATAAACCAGATATGTAAAATGGATGGGCACTGAAAACTTAAATTCTGAAACAAGACCAAAGTCCAGAAATGGATGAACAACCAGAACTTTCCTCCGGAGTTTACAGCTAGTGAATGCTCAGAAGAAGGAACATGGGCACCAATCCCTGATGAGGCCAAGAATGTTTCAATACTGGCAGTGAGATATAACCTACCAGGTAGATCAAGTGATGACTGCAAGTGAATGATACTCCTGTCACCAACACAGCCTTCATTTGAAACATTAACAATGGTACAAGACAGGCTACAATGCGGTTTTATACAAATAAGACATTACATAAATATCAATTAAACGAAGATTACCTGTGACATGACCATTGAGCATCATGTCGCCGCTATGGCAGGCTAGCTGTAAACCTCAAAACCGAGCAGGAAAAAAAAGAGTAGATATCGCAGCCTAGCCATAAACCACAACACAACATGCCAGCCATCCATATTAAAACAACAAACTAAACAACGCTGCAAAATGTGAACCCAAGGCGTCACATACATATCTGGATCATAGGGAAAAGGGCACTTATTGGCAGCCCTGCTCAGCAGTCAAAAATGACCAATCAACTAAAAAAAAATCTGGGCCGGCAACAAAACAAACAATGACTGGGTGGCCATTCACTATTCCAGAATCCCGACTGGTTGGTCATTCATTATTCTAGTGTTCTGACTGGTTGGCCATTCACTATTTCAGTATCCTGACAGGTTGGCCAATCACTATTTCAGTATCCTGGCTATTTAATGTTCCAGTATCCTGACAGGTTGGAGATTCATTATTTCAGTATCCTGACTGGTTGGCCATTCACTATTTCAGTATCCTGACAGGTTGGCCATTTACTATTTCAGTATCCTGGCTATTTAATGTTCCTGTATCCTGACAGGTTGGAGATTCATTATTTCAGTATCCTGACAGGTTGGCCATTTACTATTTCAGTATCCTGACTATTTGGCCAGTGATTTAACTTTACCTATATAACAACAAATATTTACATGATGAGTCTGTAAATAACAACACAGTCTTACTTCTTATTATGGTTGAAGTGCTCATAGCCAATGTCAGTTGCCTTACAAGCATAACAACTAGTGGCACCACAGACACAGGTCATCTTGTTGCAGCCATCATCTTTGACAAACCGCTTGCCACATTTGTGACATTTTCGCATTACTGCTTCAGAAATCTTATTTTCAATATAGACACGCATGCCTGTTTCTGCTTTCTTTTCAACTTCATTACAGCGCAGAGGAATGTGGCTCGGTTCTCGACATAGCCTGCAAATAATAAACCAAAATTACCATGAACAAACCAAAAAATGATTAGCTGTTTTTATAACTTGCCGTTAGTTTTAAGATTGATAAATGTATGAAATCTTACATTTTAGGTCTTCTCTGTGGGGGTGCGTGGTCAAGCATGTAATAAAAGTCTGCTAATCAGCGATGTTTAATTAAAAGTCAGAGTGCATCTGCCTGAGAACATTTTGATTACAAATAAGCCAGATCTGTAAAAACGGATGGCCACGCAAAACTCAAGCTCTGGAACGAGCCTAAAAGTCCAGAGTTTACAGTTGGTGAATGCGAAGAAGCAAAAGAAATTCTCAGATGTAACATTGTAGCATATGAGATAAGATGAACATGGAAAACTACTGGCAAAACAAAATGAAATAAAATAAATAAGGAACTACTGAGAAACATCATGAAGACAACATCAGCAAATGATCGTATCGATCATTAAAGAATCTAACAGTTAAGCTATTTAGTCAGAATGAAACCTAACCAATCTGCAGGGTAAACATATTAGATCAGAACACTGGGGTACAAAAGGATGACCTTTGTGACTCTCCATGATCAGAACACTGGGGTACAAAAGGATGACCTTTGTGACTCTCCATGATCAGAATACTGGGGTACAAAAGGATGACCTTTGTGACTCTCCATGATCAGAACACTGGGTAAAAAGGATGACCTTTGTGACTCTCCATGATCAGGGGTACAAAAGGATGACCTTTGTGACTCTCCATGATCAGAACACTGGGGTACAAAAGATCAGATGACCTTTGTGACTCTCCATGATCAGAACACTGGGGTACAAAAGGATGACCTTTGTGACTCTCCATGATCTCCATGATCAGAACACTGGGGTACAAAAGGGACCTTTGTGACTCTCCATGATCAGAATACACAAAAGGATGACCTTTGTGACTCTCCATGATCAGAACACTGGGGTACAAAAGGATGACCTTTGTGACTCTCCATGATCAGAACACTGGGGTACAAAAGGATGACCTTTGTGACTCTCCATGATCAGAACACTGGGGTACAAAAGGATGACCTTTGTGACTCTCCATGATCAGAACACTGGGGTACAAAAGGATGACCTTTGTGACTCTCCATGATCAGAACACTGGGGTACAAAAGGATGACCTTTGTGACTCTCCATGATCAGAACACTGGGGTACAAAAGGATGACCTTTGTGACTCTCCATGATCAGAACACTGGGGTACAAAAGGATGACCTTTGTGACTCTCCATGACACAAGCAGAAAAATTAAAAACAGAAGAAAAACAATGTTGTAAATTTGATTTTTTGCACTGTTTAATCTTGCAGCATATATTTTACTCTTGCCTAAGAATAGTCGACCTTTCAGCTGATACACACTTCATAATTTCAAATGTTTTTTCCTTTTGGTTTTGATGAGTAATCTAGTAACCCAATCCTTCAAGGCACTGATTCTACCTATAGTGAATAAACAACTGTGCAGAAAGTTTCACTTCATGAGTGAACACTGTCTATGCCATCTCCACAATAAAGGTTGGCTGCAGCGCACGCACTGCTGTCTTTGGGAATATTACCTAGTGAGACCCCTATCTCTTCCACAGTGTGAATCTCATGCTATTATTTAACAGCCATGAGAACTATCTTAAACCAAACCACAACAATCAAACCTCAGTTCTTGAGGATCATGAAATTGTTTAGAGCATTCACTAACCTTTAAGTCACAGAGCTGCTTGATTTGTCAAGTGGATGTTATATTCTCTCAGTCCTCATTATTTAAACATCAAAAACCAGAACTTTTTTCTGCTGGTGGTATGAAACAGTATGCAGTACTGGCACCTTTTTAAATGCACAAATGTTTCAGCATTGCTGTAACAGACACTGTACGGAGTACTGGCAACTTTTTAGACACTTTCTGGTTGAGTTTTGGCACCTTTTTTAAAAACACATTCTTTTACTGTAGGGAGTACTAGCACCTTTTTTAGACACTTACTGGTGAGTATAGGCACTATTTTAAGGAAAAAAGGCCCTCCAACAACAGAATATTCACAGCATGTTTTGAAGAGGAAATGCAAACCTGCCCTAACATAAGTCATGCTAAAGTCTGCCCAAGTCTCATGTAAACAGACAATGACATTCATGTACGTTTTAGGATGGAAAGATGATGCAACAGTGCGTGACCAGAGGATCTGGCCAACGATCAGTGCTTAGAAAAAATTAAAGTAGAAGATATAATCAGATGACAACTGACAAAATTTACATTGAAACTCAGCGCTGGCTGCTGATAATGCAGATGTTGGAACTCAGCACTGGCTGCTGATAATGCAGATGTTGGAACTCAGCAGTGGCTGCTGATAATGCAGATGTTGGAACTCTGCACTGGCTGCTGATAATGCAGATGTTGGAACTCAGCACTGGCTGCTGATAATGCAGATGTTGGAACTCTGCACTGGCTGCTGATAATGCAGTTAGGGCACTAATAGGAATGCCCCTGATGCTGTGACAATGGTTGCTGACTCAGCTCAGCTGGAGTTGAAGAAGATAATGAACAATATTTAACACAAATGTGTTTCTGCAATCTCTGATGACATTCATGCATACTTCACCTGCAAGATTCTTTCAGGCATTCAGGGTTTAAGCACTTGAAGACTCTGTCATCTGGATCTGGCATAATGGCAGCAAATGGGCAAAATGGGCACGTCACTAGGTCAGGAATGTTAGCTTGCTGCACTTCCTCTTCCTGTAGTCTACGGACAATCTTTGAGAACAGTCCAGCAGGTATGATGGTCTGAAGGAAGCTCAATGGTATGTCTTGACTACATTCTCCAGTTAGGCAAGGGAATCTGTACAGACACAGACAAATGAGTCATTGCCAGAATGAAGTCACAGAAACACAGCAAATGTAGTTATGATCACAAGCAATAATGTTCCGTTTAAATAGAACAGCCGCAAACAAAACTTTCACTCATGTTGCAAAAAATACCAGCAACATAATGGTGTTAAATGGCGACATAATCTTTTTATCTTGCCTCACATACTGCATTTTCTTATTTGGGCTGGTCCTTGAGACATTGTATTCTAATATTTTATCAATGCAGTGTTATGCGGGTAAATGCATCAGGAAATACAAAATTAACTATTATTACTAATGCAAATGTTAAAATTAAAGTGATGGCTTATTAATATTTTTTTAACTAGCTGAAATGTTAGCTATTTCTTTGATTGGTGATTTAATTAATATGCTCCCAAATATTTAACAGTTATAATATCAATAAATAAATAAAGAATATATCATAAAGTATCATGTAAAGAACTTTTCAGGCCAACAGTGCCGGCCCCCTATTTTTTTTAATGAATCAGCTTCAATGAGGACTGTGGGTAATAACCATGCTGTCTTTACTCTGGGGTCAATGAGAGCTAGGGACTGGTCAATGAAAACAATTTTTGCCTTGGAGGGGATTTAAACATATGGATACTGGAACAACCGGTAAGTATTCTAGGCATTTACCACCATGATTCTCTATCATAATGAATAACTACCAATACACTAACACAATACACGGAAGCATATAAGAGAAATATAAAGACATCTAATGGTGGTTTTAAAAATAAGCTGTTTCATTTGAAGACTGTGAATGTTAGCAAAAATGAAATAGTTGTAATTACTTAGTTTTCATTTCACCAAAAGCTGCCTGGGTGGATCTGATGACACAAGTCTTACAGAACAGGTGACCATCAGGACAGCTAGCAAGGTCCTCCAAGAGGCATTCATCATCAAAACAGCAGCAACATTCATGCAACTGTCCTGTGGCCCTGGCATTTTCAATGTTCAGCTGTCTTTGTAATTCTTTCTGTTTTGTGTGATCTAAAATTGCAGAAACAAATGTCAGTTATAAATAATATTGTGTGTAAACAGTACAGCAAAGAATAAATGCATTCAGAGGAAAGAACAGTGTTATGAAAAAGCCCATTCAGTCAAGAAAACATAAAAAATGTATACTAGTTTGAAGAAACCTATCATTAGGCAAAGTAACACAAAGTAGGACAGAATAAAAAAACTGCTATCTTATCAATATCATGAAAGTATCCTGAATGTACTAAGTAAAGGTCAGTTTTTGTTGCAAGTACACGTTTAAGGAACATAGGCATACAGCAATGTCATATGCAAGTTGCACTAGCCCTTGGTGAATATATTTTCAACTAATTTAATAATCAGATAGAAAATGACATGTGGATGACAATCAAACATAGTCTGTAGTGGTGACTATTTATGTAATCTACTTCTGATCTTTTTCTGCACAGACTTAGGAGCAGAAAATTGCTCACTCAAAGTAGGAATTATTAAATGCACCAACAAATCTCAGACAATGTACTCGTTTTCTACTAAATTTAAATATAAACGAATTAATTGTTTTCTTTGTGATGAAGCGTAATCGATATCTCAAAAATGCATCTATAAATACAGAAAAGAACTCTCCAACTGTAAAGTTAAGATAATTCTACTAAAAGGGCAAAAGGTGATCACAGTTTGCATATAACTAGTTTTAATTTGCTTGAAGTAGGGTGTTGACCTCCATTCCCTTTACAGAGATATTTCTAGACAAAATTGATTCGTGGCGCGGTGATTTATGTCACAGGTGTGAGGGGAAGTTAAGTCCAACATGATGTGTATAAGGAGATACTCCGTACGTCACTCGGGCGCCAGTCCTTTACTATCCTGGTTGTACGGAACCCCACGCAAGACCCCTACAGCACGTCCTCGTCGTGCGCCACGGATAATGTCTCAAATGAGCATTAACAGAGCTGTCAGGGGATCTCGGAGTTCGGCGGCCCCCAGAGGTGATGTGTCCTTGTGGCTCTCATCAGCCCGCCCCCAAACGCTTGGGTGAAAAATGTTATCAAAACTCATTAGGAACATGAGTAAGTTTGCCAAACGTACAACCCTTGGTTAAAAGACTGCGGAGTAAAGAGAACACTGTTCACTGCACATCCTCTGTTAACCCTCAGTGTCGTCGTCACCGCGCTGAGATACACCACAACAGCAACCATCCATAGGCTGGCCATCCTTGTACATCCTCTGTTAACCCCCAGTGTCGTCGTCACCGCGCTGGGGTACACCACAACAGCAACCATCCATTGGATGGCTAAGCCTAAATGTCCGACAAAACTAGATCATACGGATCAAAATCTGACCATCAAAATTTGCATTGAACTGAAAAAGATCGAATGTCCACACCCAAAGACCCCACTCGCCCGAGTGTTGGGACAAAACTGATAACGATATGTCTGATGCAGGATGTAAAATTCTGGCAGGCTAACGGCTCGTCAAAGAAATTCAACGTGCGAGGAAAAAAAAGAATGTACCTATCTGTGTGGTCACAAAAGTCCAAAACCCACGGGCTGCTCCCCGCTGACTTCCAGAGGGCGCAGACCCTGTCGAGCGGGAGGCCTGATACGGTTGTGAGGTTAAGCAGGCATGTGCAGGACATGACGATTCCTTGGGTGAGCCCAGAACCAGAGCGCCATGTGCCGGCTCTGCATGCATGGAAGCCTCCTTGGATGGCGGGGAATGCCCATGATCTGCCCCTGCCTTCCCTTGAGGGCTAACTGTTCCACAGGGGACTGCCCCAAAGGGGTACTCCGGGGGCAATACCTGCGGCGAAGGAGACAAAGTGGACACCACACAAGTCAGGCAACGTCTCGACCCACACAAAACAATGGCCACAGTCACCCTAGAAATAGGCCTGACGTCTTCCTTCGAAGTCGGAGTACAGCTGCCCAGGAGGCAGGGATATTAAAAACGGTTGTACACGCAAAAATCAGGTCCAGGTGAAAGCCAAAAGTCCAAGCGGACGATTATCCTGGACCTTCCACTGGAATTCACAGCCGGTGATTGATAAAAAAAAAAAAAAAAAAAATTGATTCAACCTCAGATATGTATTTGGACAAATTCTCCCTACTCATCTTTACTTATCAGAACATTTCCTGGTACCCAGTTCTGACTAATGAGACGAGCAAGAGTAGGTCAACACCAACAAAATATCCTGGCTGTTACGGTGGATTAAAACACATGACCACCGTGTAAGTGTATTTGCACTGAGGTTGTAGTTCTGACATACACATGATACAATCATAAATACTCACCTACAACAGAAAGTTCATTATAAACAAACCAGAGTTCATGGTAAAAATATTCATCTGCTTCATCAGGCATTAGCAGCTTCACGGAATGTTTCCTCCTCAGAAACATGGGCATTTTTTTCCGCTTGTCTGAAATAAAATTAGAACCCACCATCAGGACACTGAAGACCGGGGGTTTCCTGTGAGAGTTATGTGTATGTGACACACCTCTTGCTGACTCTTTGCTTATGGCTGTCATGTACTGGCTATTCAGTACTATCACCTTTTGATGTCTGCTGGCAGCACCAAGTGCTTATATCCAGCACTTGTGGATTTTACCAATACGTTGGTTCTTCTTCAAAATTATAAGACAAAAAAGGATATACAGTGGTACCCTGCAATCAAATGCCTCAAAACTCTAATCATTTCGATCTGAATGACATTTCAAGTAAACTGTTCCTCAGAACTTGAACGTCGCCTAGAAAACAGTACGCCTGGCAGGTGCCAGCTATGCGCTACCACATAGCACCACCTATGCTATGTTTATTTTCGTTGCTGTGTTGCATTTCGGCTAGTCAACTCATATTATTTTTTTAGCAGAAAATTGTATTAATTTCTGCTTATTCAATGTATTTTTTTTTCTTTCTTTCAAACATTAAATGAGTTAGTTATGGTTGGTAAAAAATTAAGTGTTAAAAATAAAGTAAAAGAAAAGCTGTTAGAGCAACAACTGTCATTAAAAAAAGATCTTATCACAAAGTATGATGGTGGTATTTGTGTGTGTGAATTTGCTACAAAGTTTGATATGCTCAAATTAACTGTTTGTACAAATATTTAAAAAACATAAAGCAGCAGACGTGGCAAAATGGATTACTAACTCTGAGAGCTAGGAGATCAACAAACACGGAAGAGTCTAAATCAATGAAAAACAGCTTGCAGATGATGTAATTTCTGAAGTAATAATTTATGAGAAAGCAAAGACCCTACACAATGATTTAGTAAAAGGAGTTTAAAGCCAGCAGGGGATTGTGTGAAAATTCCAACAACAAAACAAAACAAAAAACTGAGTGAGATTCATAATGTTGCTATGTATGGTGAAGCAACAGCTCTAATTCAGAAGCAGCATAAAAGTTTGTAAAGGAATTTAGGGAGTTTATGGAAAATGAGGGCTATGCCAACACTTTGGAATGCTGGCTGTCAACAAACTAGTGACCCCAAACCCTCTACAGAAGGGATTTCTATTGTTATCTTGCCAATAATCTCCCAAAATTCTCATTCCTACTCTGACTTCTATGTGTGATCAAGGTACAGTAAATAAATGGTTTCGATCTTTTTTTAAATGTTTGTAATTAAATGTGACCATTGTGTTTTACTAAATTTACAGTTTAGTGTATTTAGGGGCTTTTGCAGACGATGTGGCCCTGATAGCTAAATCAGAGGCACACCTTCAGTACAACTTACTTGTCTGGAAGGAAGAGCTTGAAAAGAAAGGGATGACCATCAGTGTCTCCAAAACTAAAACCATGGTGATCTCAAGAGAGGAGAAGAAACACCAGATCATGATGGGTCAGTATGCGTTGGAGCAGGTTAACCAGTTCAAATACCTTGGAGTTGTATTAGACCAAAATGGAGGCATTAAGACTGAGCTGGCTACACGAAAAGCAGCTGCTGGGAGACTCTTCCAGGCCATAAACCGAGGGTTTCTTAGCAAAAGAGAAATTGGCAAGAGGACGAAAATGGCTGTTTACCGCTCTACCTATGTACCAGTCCTGACCTATGGGTGTGAGTCATGGGCAATGACAACAGCTCACAGAAGCCAGCTGCAGGCCTCGGAAATGAGATACCTGAGAAAGGTGGTCCAAGTGACAAGAAGGGACAAAGTCCGCAATCAGACAATACGTCAAGATCTTGATACCCAGCCCTTACTAACCCGAGTGGATCAGTCACAGTTACGATGGTTTGGACATGTGTGCAGAATGGGAGAAAATCGGCCACCATGGCAAGCATGGGAGGCTAAGAACCAGGGAACCAGACCTCCGGGACGACCCAGGGTGAGCTGGGAAGACAACATCCGACAGTCCCTGACTGACAGAGGACTGGAATGGAAAGAAGCCAGAAAGAAAACTGCTGATAGAGACGTCTGGCGATCTCTCTGGCAAACCTCTACACCCCAAGGTAGAAGAGGAGCGACTAAGTAAGTAAGTGTATTTAGGAAATATAAAAAATATGAGTCTGCTGGATCATGGAACAGATTAATTTATTTTCCATTATTTTCAGTGGGAAAAATTGCCTTGGAACTCAAATGATTTGGAATTCAAACACCATCTCAAAGGAATTATGTCCCAATTCTGAAGTACCACTGTACTGCTAATAATACCGCATGCCACATCCTTGAGATTACCAACTGTTTGTCTTTCCACATCAGGTTCCCACAGCAAAATCAGATGCTCATATCATGGTCGGGTGCACACAGATCCCAGAGATAAAAGAACCATTCGCAAGTCCTAATGCATGGAACACAGTTGTAATTACAGAAACAGTCAGCACAATTTTGTACAACATAAAAATGTGAAGAGAATACAGATTTATAAATGATACAAAAGTAAACAAATACTCATATGTAAGCTTTAAAAGATTTCATATACAACCACCAAAAGGATGATGTCACTCAGATGCCCCTGAAGATATACTCTAATTGTTTTGCTATGAATAACCGCAAATGCTATGCTATGATTAACCCCAGCTGATCAGTTTAGTTAAGCAATCTCTGCTTATTTAAAAAAACCTGCCTGTCTATTCAACAGACCAATAATCTATGTTTGTATTTTCAACAGACCGATAATCTATGTTTGTATTTTCAACAGACCAACAATCTCTGCTTGTCTACTAATTAGATCAACAATCTCTGCTTTTTTGTTAACCATCTATAACAATAGTGAGAACAATAGTGAATTATTAATGTCAATATTTACCATCTACTTTTAGCCAAAAGGAAGTGGGCCTAACTTAACCACACTTCCCAAATAAAGACTAACCTTTGGCTTTAAATGTATAATCAATGTAAATGTTAGGAAACTTACCCAATGGAGTCTTCACAACTAATGCAGAAATCTCCTGATAAGCTGGGTACAAATGACCATTATATTTCTGCAATATTTGTTCCAAATATTTATATTTCAACATTGGGAATTCTTTTCTTAGAATTACATCTGCATGCTGTCTGTAGATAGCTGAAGGTTCCTTCGTACAATCAGAAAATGTTTTCACTGGATCTGGAAACTTTTGCAAGAATTCTGCCTCACTCATTTTTAATTGTCTTGCTTTTTCTTTCTTTTCTTTTTCTTGTTCTTTATCTAGCACATCTTTTAGTTTAGGATAGTCATGCTTCTCAAACATCTCAGCTGCCAAAACAGTTGTACGATCTAAAGTAGTCTTTAGGTTGTCCAGTTTTTCGAACAGATAATTTGGGTCACAGTCAGGAAATATGCTTCTCATTCTGTCCACATCATGTTCAATGGAATCTACACAGAATAAGACAGGATAATATAAATGTAAAATGTTTAATTCAAAAGCAAAAACTGTAATGAAAGGAGAGACCAACAATGAACATCACAGTAAGTGGAGAGACACCAAAACAAGTAACAAGTTTCTTCTATCTTGGTATTGTAGTAGAAGATGACGGCATATATTAAATATATAAATAAAAAAAAAATAGAAATGACAAAAAGTATGTCCAATATCATGAGTATCTTGAGAGATAACACATGAATATGTGCTGTCAAATGCAATGTCCTAATACATGGCACAAAAACCTGAGCAATAAACATGCAATTAGAGACAAATTGAGGTCCTGAATTTGTTGATATGCAGAAGAATAGGTGGTAGGTCAGGCAGAAAAGAAAAAAAATACATAGATTCCTGAAAGAACTAACAAATGTTAAAGGAAATTTAGGAGGGAGGAAAAAGGCGACAATGAAATAAAATATTTCTGGCAGTTACATATTACTCATAATAAACAATACTAGGAAATGTTGAAGGCCTGTGAGCAAGTGACAGCCAGTGATACAAGTAGGAGGATAACATCAAGAGATGGAACAACAGCAGGAAATGTTGAAGGCCTGTGAGCAAGTGACAGCCAGTGATACAAGTAGGAGGATAACATCAAGAGATGGAACAACAGCAGGAAATGTTGGAAGCCTGTAAGCAAGTGACAGCCAGTGATACAAGTAGGAGGATAACATCAAGAGATGGAATAACAGCAGGAAATGTTGGAAGCCTGTGAGCAAGTGACAGCCAGTGATACAAGTAGGAGGATAACATCAAGAGATGGAATAACAGCAGGAAATGTTGGAAGCCTGTGAGCAAGTGACAGCCAGTTATACAAGTAGGAGGATAACATCAAGAGATGGAATAACAGCAGGAAATGTTGGAAGCCTGTGAGCAAGTGACAGCCAGTGATACAAGTAGGAGAATAACATCAAGAGATGGAATAACAGCAGGAAATGTTGAAGGCCTGTGAGCAAGTGACAGCCAGTGATACAAGTAGGAGGATAACATCAAGAGATGGAACAACAGCAGGAAATGTTGAAGGCCTGTGAGCAAGTGACAGCCAGTGATACAAGTAGGAGGATAACATCAAGAGATGGAATAACAACAGGAAATGTTAAAGGCCTGTGAGCAAGTGACAGGAGGTGATACAAGTCGGAGGATAACATCACAAGAGATGGAACAACAGCAGGAAATGTTGAAGGCTTGTGAGCAAGTGACAGCCAGTGATACAGGTAGGAGGATAATATCAATAGATGGAATAACAGCAGGAAATGTTGAAGACCTGTGAGCAAGTGACAACCAGTGATACAAGTAGGAGGATAACATCAAGAGAAGGAACAACAGCAGGAAATGTTGAAGACCTGTGAGCAAGTGACAACCAGTGATACAAATAGGAGGATAATATCAATAGATGGAACAACAGCAGGAAATGTTGAAGACCTATGAGCAAGTGACAACCAGTGATACAAATAGGAGGATAACATCAACTGATGGAACAACAGCAGGAAATGTTGAAAGCCTGTGAGCAAGTGACAACCAGTGATACAAGTAGGAGGATAACATCAATAGATGGAACAACAGCAGGAAATGTTGAAAGCCTGTGAGCAAGTGACAACCAGTGATACAAATAGGAGGATAATATCAATAGATGGAACAACAGCAGGAAATGTTGAAGACCTGTGAGCAAGTGACAACCAGTGATACAAATAGGAGGATAACATCAAGAGATGGAACAACAACAGGAAATGTTGAAGGCTTGTGAGCAAGTGACAACCAGTGATACAAGTAGGAGGATAACATCAATTGATGGAACAACAGCAGGAAATGTTGAAGGCCTGTGAGCAAGTGACAACCAGTGATACAAGTAGGAGGATAACATCAAGAGAAGGAACAACAACAGGAAATGTTGAAGGCCTGTGAGCAAGTGACAACCAGTGATACAAGTAGGAGGATAACATCAAGAGAAGAAACAACAACAGGAAATGTTAAAGGCTTGTGAGCAAGTGACAACCAGTGATACAAATAGGAGGATAACATCAAGAGATGGAACAACAACAGGAAATGTTGAAGGCTTGTGAGCAAGTGACAACCAGTGATACAAGTAGGAGGATAACATCAATTGATGGAACAACAGCAGGAAATGTTGAAGGCCTGTGAGCAAGTGACAGCCAGTGATACAAGTAGGAGGATAACATCAATTGATGGAACAACAACAGGAAATGTTGAAGGCCTGTGAGCAAGTGACAGCCAGTGATACAAGTAGGAGGATAACATCAAGAGATGGAATAACAGCAGGAAATGTTAAAGGCCTGTGAGCAAGTGACAGGAGGTGATACAAGTCGGAGGATAACATCACAAGAGATGGAACAACAGCAGGAAATGTTGAAGGCTTGTGAGCAAGTGACAGCCAGTGATACAGGTAGGAGGATAATATCAATAGATGGAATAACAGCAGGAAATGTTGAAGACCTGTGAGCAAGTGACAACCAGTGATACAAGTAGGAGGATAACATCAAGAGAAGGAACAACAGCAGGAAATGTTGAAGACCTGTGAGCAAGTGACAACCAGTGATACAAATAGGAGAATAACATCAAGAGATGGAATAACAGCAGGAAATGTTGAAGGCCTGTGAGCAAGTGACAGGAGGTGATACAAGTCGGAGGATAACATCACAAGAGATGGAACAACAGCAGGAAATGTTGAAGGCTTGTGAGCAAGTGACAGCCAGTGATACAGGTAGGAGGATAATATCAATAGATGGAATAACAGCAGGAAATGTTGAAGACCTGTGAGCAAGTGACAACCAGTGATACAAGTAGGAGGATAACATCAAGAGAAGGAACAACAGCAGGAAATGTTGAAGACCTGTGAGCAAGTGACAACCAGTGATACAAATAGGAGGATAATATCAATAGATGGAACAACAGCAGGAAATGTTGAAGACCTGTGAGCAAGTGACAACTAGTGATACAAATAGGAGGATAACATCAACTGATGGAACAACAGCAGGAAATGTTGAAAGCCTGTGAGCAAGTGACAACCAGTGATACAAGTAGGAGGATAACATCAATAGATGGAACAACAGCAGGAAATGTTGAAAGCCTGTGAGCAAGTGACAACCAGTGATACAAATAGGAGGATAATATCAATAGATGGAACAACAGCAGGAAATGTTGAAGACCTGTGAGCAAGTGACAACCAGTGATACAAATAGGAGGATAACATCAAGAGATGGAACAACAACAGGAAATGTTGAAGGCTTGTGAGCAAGTGACAACCAGTGATACAAGTAGGAGGATAACATCAATTGATGGAACAACAGCAGGAAATGTTGAAGGCCTGTGAGCAAGTGACAGCCAGTGATACAAGTAGGGGGATAACATCAATTGATGGAACAACAACAGGAAATGTTGAAGGCCTGTGAGCAAGTGACAACCAGTGATACAAGTAGGAGGATAACATCAAGAGAAGAAACAACAACAGGAAATGTTAAAGGCTTGTGAGCAAGTGACAACCAGTGATACAAGTAGGAGGATAACATCAAGAGAAGGAACAACAGCAGGAAATGTTGAAGGCCTGTGAGCAAGTGACAACCAGTGATACAAGTAGGAGGATAACATCAAGAGAAGGAACAACAGCAGGAAATGTTGAAGGCTTGTGAGCAAGTGACAACCAGTGATACAAGTAGGAGGATAACATCAATAGATGGAACAACAGCAGGAAATGTTGAAAGCCTGTGAGCAAGTGACAGCCAGTGATACAGGTAGGAGGATAATATCAATAGATGGAACAACAGCAGGAAATGTTGAAGACCTGTGAGCAAGTGACAACCAGTGATACAAATAGGAGGATAACATCAAGAGATGGAACAACAGCAGGCTGAAAGAGCTGACAACCATGGCAAGAGACAAGAGTCAGCAGGTTGAGGGAGCTGACAACCATGGCAAGAGACAAGAGTCAGCAGGCTGAGGAAGCTGACAACCATGGCAAGAGACAAGAGCCAGCAGGTTGAGGGAGCTGACAACCATGGCAAGAGACAAGAGTCAGCAGGCTGACGGAGCTTACTACCATGGCAAGAGACAAGAGTCAGCAGGCTAAGGGAACTGACAACCATGGCAAAAGACAAGAGTCAGCAGGTTGAGGGAGCTGACAACCATGGCAAGAGACAGAGTCAGCAGGCTGAGGGAACTGACAACCATGGCAAAAGACAAGAATCAGCAGGTTGAGGGAGCTGACAACCATGGCAAGAGACAAGAGTCAGCAGGCTAAGGGAGCTGACAACCATGGCAAAAGACAAGAGTCAGCAGGTTGAGGGAGCTGACAACCATGGCAAGAGACAAGAGTCAGCAGGCTGAGGAAGCTGACAACCATGGCAAGAGACAAGAGTCAGCAGGCTGAGGAAGCTGACAACCATGGCAAAAGACAAGAGTCAGCAGGCTGAGGGAACTGACAACCATGGCAAGAGACAAGAGTCAGCAAGTTGAGGGAACTGACAACCATGGCAAGAGACAAGAGTCAGCAGGCTAAGGGAACTGACAACCATGGCAAAAGACAAGAGTCAGCAGGTTGAGGGAACTGACAACCATGGCAAGAGACAAGAGTCAGCAGGCTGACGGAGCTTACTACCATGGCAAGAGACAAATTTAGAGATCCACTGCTCTCATCTTCAGTGTGGAAATGGAAACCAACTCATTGATTATAAATAGCTAAAAATTAAAATAAAATAAAAATAAATAAATACCAGTAACAATTTTGGATTGAAAACTACAATACAGTGAGGAAAATATAATTACTGAATACAGGCAAATCAACATGCTTAGCATATTCCTAATTATTAATTTAAATACTGACCAAGAAATTGAAGAAGCCTTCTTCTGTTGCACCACCCTCCCTCCCCCCAGTGAAGCACAGGCCCCCTCCTACCACCTCACTTTACCCCTTGTTACCGCTTGCAGCCCATATGTCCCCATCTTTTTCACTTCATTCTCTAGTTTTCTTCACCACATGTCTTTTGGTCTTTATCATTATGACCCTGTGGGTTCCAGTACAAAAATATTCTAGTGTTTTTGCTCTCAAGTTTGTCCTATCTAAAGCCAAAACTTGTCCTCACCCCTTAATTCACCAGAATGTTTTTAATCCTTGCCCAATACTCCACAAGTCATTCTATCATACCAGGTTTCTGGCCACATGGAAGTAAAGAATTACATTTATAGGATTGATTACAGATTCAGAGCACAGTGGCTAGAAGGGGCTGGAGAAGAAAGAGAAAGGGTAGAGGGAGAGGAAGGAGGAAGAAAGGAGAAGAGGAGGGGTTGAAAAAGTGGAACATCAAAGAGAAAGAAAAGGGAGTGACAAGGAATGTAATGCTGAAAGCCAAAAATAGATTTGGGAAATCTAAAAGAGGTCATTTTTCTCAGCTTCCACCCTCTCTCAAAAATACAAATGCTGTGTGAAAGATGGGTGTTTAAAAATGCTGAATGTAAGACCGGCCTGCACGCCCAATTCGTGATCCTCTGAAAATAAAGTGTGTTTCTTTGTTCCCAGTGTGAACATGGTCGTCATGGTCCAGAACCTGTTCCTGTCCCATGCTTGGATGCTCATATGTGACTACAATTGTTTGTTCTATTTCCTACATTCAAGGCTGGGTACATTGGTAGCCAAGGTCATTTTCCCCAAAGCCCTGAACCTTTCCCCAATGCAAACCAGAGTGAGTGCCTGATTCATAGAAAATTTAATATGAAAATAGGTAATCTTGCCTGGAAAATAGGTCACGTACCAGGGGACTTCTATTTCATTTCTGGTTCTACCATAAAGAGAGTGGTTGCAGGGGAGGAAGCGGAGTAGAAGATTGAGAGGGAAAATGGGGAGACAGAGAGGAAATAAAGTATAAGAAAAGAAAGTTGGCACTGAGGCAAGGGGGCAGCAAGAAAGGAAAGGAGACAGAAAGAAGAGGAGAGATACAGGGAGAAGAAAGTGGCAGGGGTGCCGGCCACCCCGGGTATCATCACCGGTTGGGGGGGGGGGGGGGTGGTGTGTGGGCCACCCCAGATAGCATTACTATGAGGGAGGGTGCGGCCACAGCGAGTGTCATCACTGTGGCAAATGTGTTTTTAAAATTATACATATATTTAATGTGTTGGTTGGTATGTTCCATGTTGGGTATCAGCTGACCTTGCTACGCCAACTGAAGGTAGGGAGAGGGAAAGGGGATTAGAAACCAGACAAGTGAAAATAGCTCCCTTCCCACCCCGCAAAGCAAACAATTAGACTGTGAACTGCATATTACTTGTGCCCCTCTCACTTATTGCTCCCACAAGTTTAAAAACAATGGTAGCCCATACACTAGCCAGCATAGTTTGCTTAAACGACCTAACTATACAAACTGTAACTGCAAAAATAGGCAAGAGGCCTGATATCCGAGTTACGTTGTGTGCAAAGTTCAAGGATTTGTGGGTAAAGTTCCAGAAATTTCTTCAGTTTTCATAAAAATCTCAAGTTTTTTTTTCTTCCAGACCTTGAGAGGGATCTTGCATTTCCCAACTTTTTCAAGTTTTTAAGGGGTGCTACAAACCCTGTGAAATATCTATTTATTAATGAGTATGTTTTGCATCTTGCAAAAGGTTATCTTAGCCGTGCTCTAATCTCTGCAAGACATTAGCATAAGCTAATCTTCCCATGTACACAGATGTTTCAGTGTGGTATTTCTTTTTTCTTCTTATAGCTGACATAATCTCCCCCTCCCCCATTTAATTCTAAGCCTAGTTGCTCACTGTGCCGCTTTCCATCTTAGTTGTGATGATAGTGGTCAGGTGACCATAGCCATTGTCACTATAGTGTGATCCTCTGCCCATCAGTGGGAAATGTAAGACCATGACCAATTATTATCAGTTGGCTGTTCTCAAGAAAAATCCCCCATCATCTTGTTTCCTGTTGTCCATATCCACATCCTAGCACACTGGTCTGAACTATTCATGCCTGTTCTCCCATACAGTGTCTCCATGCTCAACACACCCAGTAGGAGGTATCAACACACCCAGTAGAAGGTATCAACACACCCAGTAGAAGGTATCAACACACCCAGTAGGAGGTATCAACACACCCAGTAGAAGGTATCAACATACCCAGTAGGAGGTATCAACATACCCTGTAGGAGGTATCAACATACCCAGTAGAATGTATCAACATACCCAGTAGGAAGTATCAACAGACCTAGTAGGAGGTATCAACAGACCTAGTAGGAGGTATCAACATACCCAGTAGAAGGTATCAACATACCCTGTAGGAGGTATCAACAGACCCAGTAGAAGGTACCAACATACCCAGTAGAAGGTATCAACAGACCCAGTAGGAGGTATCAACAGACCCAGTAGGAGGTATCAACATACCCAGTACGAGGTATCAACATACCCTATAGGAGGTATCAACATACCCTATAGGAGGTATCAACATACCCAGTAGAAGGTATCAACACACCCAGTAGAAGGTTATCAACATACCCAGTAGGAGGTATCAACATACCCTGTAGGAGGTATCAACATACCCAGTAGGAGGTATCAACACACCCAGTAGGAGGTATCAACACACCCAGAAGAAGGTATCAACATACCCTGTAGGAGGTATCAACATACCCAGTAGGAGGTATCAACAGACCCAGTAGGCGGTATCAACAAACCCAGTACGATGTATCAACAGACCCAGTAGTGGGTATCAACAGACCCAGTAGGAGGTATCAACACACTCAGTAGGAGGTATCAACATACCCAGTAGGAGGTATTAATATACCCAGTAGGAGGTATTAACAAATCCAGTAGGAGGTATTAACAAATCCAGTAGGAGGTATCAACAGACCTAGTAGGAGGTATCAAAATACCCAGTAGGAGGTATCAACATACCCAGTAGGAGGTATCAACATACCCAGTAGGAGGTATCAACATACCCAGTAGGAGGTATCAACATACACAGTAGGAGGTATCAAAATACCCAGTAGGAGGTATCAACATACCTAGTAGGAGTTACCATGACTGCTGGTGGTTTTAAATGTCTCATAATATTTTTACTATAAAGAAAATAGCCCTAAAATAATAAGACACTTCTTATCTGGCTTCAGGCATATTAAATGACATCTCCTTTAGATTATAGAAAATCTATTGCATGTACATCTTGTGCTGCCATATACTGCTAGAGCCTCATTCTTAATGAGTCTTAGCTTAGTGAAACACATGTGATCATGAAAATATAAAATAAATGTCAAAGAACTGTTTAAATGCATTGTTTGTTGATATCCCACTACTGACAACACTTCCAGAAAATAATCTATAACTATACTTAAATTTAAAAAAAAAAAAGAGTAAGAAGAAAATTACAAACTACCTTCAATAACAACAGAACTTGTAGGATCTTCTACAGGGTTAGCAGCAGCAACAGCCTGGCTTCCCTGTGTTCCATCTCCACTTACTGTTTGCCCATACAAAATTTCATTGATGACACTTTCTAGTCTGTTTTCTTGATTAAATTTGGCTTCAAGAAGAGCATAAATTTCATTCCGGTCCTTTTCTGGAAACAGCTTAGCAATAATTCTCATGTCCTGAAATAAAGGATCATTCTCCAGAACTGAGTCATCCTCTGGTTTCCACAAGAGATATTTGTTCCTGGGCTGAGCTTTCAGTAGGAATAGATGGTTTCACTTTTGTAATGACATCCTGAACCCTGCTGGATGACGGTGGAAGCTGTTCAAGCAAAGCATAAATTTCATTAACATCTGCAGAGGGCACTGCCTGGGAAACAAGTCTAACCTCTTCAAATATATCCACAGCAGAAACAGTAACAGCACTGTCTGAGTTTGTCAACTGAAATGTGACAATGTCAAGTCTATCATCTTTGTCTCTGTGCTCAAGCAACAATTCGTATATTGTGCTGAAATCTTTATTTGGAACAATGTCTGCAATCACCCTGGCATCTGTGACAAGGGAGGAAATACTTTTTAATCTACTGACTGTTTCTGGAGAAGATGGCTCTTTAGGACTGCCAGGTCTCAGAGGTGAAGGCTCTGGTTTTGAACAACCAGGTTCACCTTCCCTTGAGATTTGTTCATCTCCAATGTCCACAACATCTTTACTATCCACAGTAGAAAGGCAAGAAAGAATTCTTGAATCTAGATTATTTGTCAGGCATTTTTTCATGTGAAGTTCTGAACTGCTGCCTCCATAAACAATCCCATTTTCACTGGCATGACTAGAATAACCTGTTTGTGTCATTCTTGAAAACACATCATCATCTGAGTGGTTATTTCCGTTTATCACAGCACTTTTCTGGACTTCTAAAGGATCACAAGAATGTTCAATGTGTGTAAAATCTGGCTCATTCACTGAAGTGTCCTCATTTGTCCCATCAGAATTGTCAGAATCATGGGAGTCACATGTTCTGGATGACAATGTCACTGATATATCGTTTGAAGAAGAAGCACTCAATCTTGGATGCTTGTAACTGGAAATGCTGGCACCTGCTGGCTCTTCTAGTTTCCGTTTACTAGGAAGTTCCAGCCAGTTATCAGGCACAAGCTCATCGAATGAATCGTCCATTCTATGGAAAACAAAGCCAAAATTTAAAAGAGGTTAGCACAGTTTGTACACACTTCAGCTGTATATCAACAAACTCCACGGAGTATATTACACTGCTGTTTTAATTCAATATACACACAGGCAGTTCACATGTAAGGGTTAAAAGGGATTTGCTACCACTAGAAATGTTCTGGCCAGTTTAATATGATGTTCTAGTTTCAGGAGTGAAGAGATTCAACAGGTGGATTAGAACCAGCCTTTGAGAAAGCACAGTGAAGACAATGTTGGAGACACACTGCAGCCAACCTTCACTGCAAAAAAAGACACTTGATAATGATGATTGTCTACTTGTTTAGGTAACATTTAATTCATAAAAAGCTAAGGAGAATGACTCATACAGAAAGAACACAAGTCTCAGTTTGAAAAGAGCTGTTTTGGCTAATGTTTAAAAAAAATTAATCCATGTACTTAAATATTAACACAGTTAAGATATTAATTTTGTTGAGGCAAAGGTTATTAAACTGGAAAATGTGTTTTTAAGAGCAGTGTACAAACCATAACTTTTTGGACCCTGCATCCTTGGAATTTAAAATGCTTTTTCTGTCTACATAATTGAGTCCTTTAGTCTGCGTATGATAGTATAGTCTATGAACAATAATAATAATGATACAAGGGCTGATCATTAAGGCCCTGGACATTTTTCCAGGGAAACTATAATATAATATTTAAGTCAAGAGAATCAACTTCACTGCACCAAGTTTTATCCCGTACGTCTCGGCCTTTCATACAGCCTTCACCACATCAACTTTATCACAAAGTAGCTCATCACCTAGAAGAGTGGCAGCAGTCAATCTTTCAGTCCATTCATTATCCCGCAAACTATCATCATCATCATGTAGCAGGTCCTTTGCAGAACGTCACTATCATCACAGTCTGCCAGAAAGAAACATGGTCTCTCGCCAGTTCTCCCGCTTCATGTACTTTCATACTCAAGGAGTCACTTATATCCTGTGCCCACCTTCGTGAAGGTCGGCCCCTGCCCCTCCTTCCTGGTACCATGCCTTCTGCTATAATTTTTTCAAATCCCTCGTGGCGCTTGATATGACCAAAATATTTCAGCTTCCGAGAAAGGATGCTGTTTATTAGTCAATCTTCCTTGATGTTAAGATCTTTTAAGATGTCAATATTTCTCCTCTTCTTTGTCCAAGATATTCTGAGAATCTTTCTATAGCATTTCAGCTCAAAAGCCCCTATTCTCTTTCTTAAGGACTGAGAGATAGTCTACGACTTACATCCGTATGTAACCACATGGAAGCTGCATGCTCTCAAAATTCTTATTTTTATCTCCTTGCTGGTGCTCAACCATAGACTTTTAAAGCTGCTCAATCTTTGCATTGCTATGGCCATCCTCCTTTTAATTTCTGTCGAACAGTCTCCATTGCTGTTTATTATAGAGCCTAGATATTCAAAGTTTGTGACATTTTCAATTTCTAAATCATTTATTGTTATTTTTGGGTGACAGCCAGTTTTATCTGTGGACATTATTTTCATTTTCTTTAAATTCAAGAACAGATTTTGATCTTCACTGTGCTTTTGGACAGACAATATTAAATTTTCTATTCCCTTTACGCTGTTCGAAAGAAAGACTGTGTCATCTGTGTAGCGGAGTTCCGGAATAGGGTTGCCACCAATTTTGAGCGGATCATTACTGTCACAAATCTGGTCGTTTTTGACATTTCTCATTATATTTTCTTCGTATATATTGAATTATATTGAATAGGTTCCTGCAAACCAAATCTACACTATACTCTTGACAGGAGTCTTCTTAACGTAATCTGAGATACTCTTTGTGTAGGACACCAGTCTTTATTCTCCATGCTCTGCCAGGCACAATTACAGCATGCCAGACTGTATAACTCTTCTGCCATAAGAGAAGTGCCATTACTGCATCCATCCTCATTTTCATCCTCCATTCTACACAAGACCAAAACAGATGCGAATATAAAGGAATGTATGTGTGGACTTATGTCTGCTTTCACTTGAGAAAAACTGGTTACAAAACTAATGAGTCTTTGGAAAGTTCTGCATAAACAAATCAATGAAACGCAAGTGGAATTCTCATTTCATATGTGGCAGCTGATCCTTCAGAGATGATTTACATCAAGGCAGACCATCCAGGCATCTGATCCCTTACTTATAGATGAAAAGAGACTATGACTTGGTCAGGTTCATCAGATATGTCACACATCTAGTTAAGTAGCTTACATTTCACTACAATTTCATTCTGTGAATCTTTAGTTTAGTGTAATTTATGTCATTGTCATTTAAAAAAAAATATATTTGCTGATAGTGACATCAGTAAACCCTTTTACCATCTGTATTATTCCTATTATGTATTGCATTTTCATAGTTTTACAACTGTTATCTACTTTGAAACTATGTATTAGCAATTCCAATTTGCTTCCTGTTTTAGGCAACACTAAAGAAGGTTTCTGCTCAGTGGATCAATTTTTTTTTTTTTTTTTAGATATTTAAACTTTACTGGATAGAAAATAATTCTCAACGTTGGAATATAATGTATACTTAGAACTATGATGTTGCATAGCAACTCTGAAACAATCAAAGAATTGTATTTGTGTTTAGAATGAGCAAACCCCAACATTCACATACTAAAGCAAATATATGTCAGACACTTTAGGTGCCACTCAAGCAAGTTAGACACACATACATGAACAACATGTTAGGGAGGAAGTGTGGTGAAATTTTAAGTGGCCACAAGCCACTGGACTATTTTCCACTGTAGCTATTGTGAAGCCACACCCTGTTACTGTGTTAAATCTGTTCTTGAGACACACTGGTGAATGGATCTGATGAAATTTAAACGAGCCTTTGGCTAGCAATAAGTGTGTAAAGTAAAGCCTATTTTAATAAATGCATTGTGCAAATCAATGCCCAAAGAAAACCCATGTCTTGTTTTGTTGGCATATTTCTTTATTTACTGAGTCTCATCAAATAATCAAGATGATAACATATGAACCCTGTATTAATACTTTTATTTGAAATAGTCAAATACAAATCTATCTCATAATAAATGTAACAGTTGGAATCAAATAGCTCAAGAGTTACAGGCGACAGTAGATCAGGTGATCGACTGGTGTACAGAGATGAGTGCTGTAATCAACCCAGAAAAGGCAACCATACTGTGGTGTTCTTTGGACAACACAATTGGTAATCTGGTAATCCTAGTTTCAGCTTCATAGCAAACGGGTCACCCCACATATGCTCCGCTCCTGTGCCAACGAAAAACAAACGCAGCTCACAGTGTCACGCCATGCACTCAACTCAGAAGCTGGGCGACGAAACTACATCCTTCCAGTCTACAAATGGAGCAAAAATGCAACGGCCACCGTCTGGAAAAAAAAAATATTTGCCACGGCTTTAAAAAAAAAAAAAGGGCGGCCGTACCTAGCGTCCATTTTGACCGGAAGAATTATATAAGGGTTAATAAACGGTCACCCCAGCAGTACCCTCATTATTAGCTGGGGAAGGGACTTGGGACATTACATCCACCAGCAGGCGTCGCCCCTACAACGACCTGCCTGCCATCGTTAACGACTGTTCACCCAACAGCCATGCAGTTCTTTGGCACGAAGGAGACACCTTGAACTTGGGTTTCGTACTGCCGACTCCCTACTAAGTTGTTATTTTATGTTCTGTTATCACAAGTAATGTCACTGCACATTGGGCATACCCATGCGTGCTCAGTTCTCCGAAGCAGCAGCCACTCTAAAGTACTTCTACTAATTGTCCCCATGAGAAGCTGGTTATATTGTCTCCTTTCTCGGCCTCGAAGACGGCAAAGACGTGCATCACCATGCTTAACTCCCATGTCACGCAATCGTGTTAGTGTCAGGGATTCCTCATTCTCCACTAGCCCAGTTCGTACAGCGTTGACTATGTCTGCTCTGTCCATACTTTTTCCCGCAATCATTAGTGCAGTGCTTGCCAGTTGGTCTGCTCGCTCATTTCCCTTCACGCCCGCATGACCCGGTGTGTAGATCCAGGTTACGGAGGTTAAGTGCGATTTCCTGATGCTTTCTATCCATTCAGAGCGCATACTGCCTGTTGCTATCTTCTGAAGCATATTCATTGAGTCTGAGACAATTACTACCTGTGTGGCGGTTTGCTCGGATACCCATGCTAAAGCTCTAGAAGCAGCGGCTATTTCCATTGTCATGCTTGACGTGGTTGTCTGGTAAGCGCCACTGTCCTCATGTATTGTTTTCCCCTTTCTTTGCGCTGTGTTTGCCCATGCTGACCTTGATCCGCGCTTCACGGATCCATCTGTGTAGATGATGGTATCTTCTGGGTCTGAATGCTGATCTATCAGTTCCCTTACTTCTGTGTCTACCGCCGCAGGAATTTGACCCCTGCAGTACCTTCCGAGTGTGATGACAACCTTAGAGATGCCATGCATGTCTACTGGTGTATCCGTCCATTCTTTTCCGTGGCTGATCACGTCTAGGTCACATACCTGCTGGATTAAGTCCTCAGCCTTTGCCATCCAAGAGCGGCCCCTTTTGAGACGCGTTCCTTTTGTGTCGTGAATATCTTTGTGTAATGGGTGGTTAACATCTGCCGATACCCTCATGTAAGCCTTGACCTGTGCCACTTTGTATCTGCTTGTCATAGTCGGCAGACCCAGGATATAACGCATGGCGTTGCAGGAGGTGTCTTTTGTGCAGCCGAGTATGAGTCTCATGGCCTCATTCTGTACTCGGTCCAGTCTTTCTAGCTGGGTTTTGCTGACAGTGAGGAGGCCAAGACCATAGTCAATGAGGCTAAGCACAAGCCCTTGATAGAGAAGGAAAAGTAGACGTTGTTCAATATCAGCTGCTGCTAGCACCTTGAGTGCTGTCAAACCTTTCCTGGCTCTAAGTATGACGTTGTCTACGTGGCATTTGTATGACAAGCATCTGTCAAATGTCATGCCCAGGTATTTCATGGTGTCCGTTCTCTCGATGTCCACACCACAGATGCTTACAACTGGCGTTGGTGTACTCACGATGTGGGTATTCAGAGAGAACCATGTTAAGGAGGCTTTGGACGGGTTCACATGAGCTCTTGATTCCTGGCACCACTCACTAAGTCTGTCTAGTTCGTGTTGTAGTGTGGTTGTAATTTCCTGCCTGTTTTTACCTCGACGGTAAACAAGGATATCATCTGCATACGACATTGTTCTGCCTAGGCCTACGCGTTGTGCACTAGTGACTCCTGCTGTGTACACATTGAAGAGCACAGGCGACAATGGTGATCCCTGGGGCAGACCCATTAGGACGCGTTGAGGTTCGGACACAATTGTTAAGAGTGATGTTTCAAGCCTCAAAATATATGGCAGGGACATCAAAAGAGACAGCAGACTGTGGTACCTGGAAATCACCTTTGACAGAAGCTCATCTTTCAAGGATCATACAAAGGAAGTTTTGACAAGGGCCCAAAAAGGTCTGAATGCATTAAAGATTATGGCAGAAATGGACATGGAGCAAAGAATGCTGTTCACACTATACCAGCACTTAATCATCTCAGTGATTAGGGACTGGGGTGGCTAACTGTCTAGAAGAAGCTAGAGAAATTGGAGCACATACAGAATGAAGCTATGCGGCTGATCCTGGGTTGTACAAGAGATACCCCAATTGTGTGCATGTGATACACCCTTGCATTGCCTACTTTTGCAGATAGGCTAAAGGTGCTGCAGGCTAAGTCATACCTCAGAGTAGCTACAGACAAAGAACACCCTCTTTATGAAGCTTTGGATGCAGCTAAGGGTAAGAGGATGAAAAGGGGAAAATCGTGGATGGCTCAAGCAGAAGACACAATAAGACAAGTATGCTTGCTGGAGAACATTGGGCAAGGAGAGAAGTAGGTCAGAGTACCAGAGGAGAAGTCTGACCCATGTAGGGTCATGATCGTATTAGGCCGGGATGCAGAGAGTGGCCAGCGGGGGATATGGGGCTGGAAATCTAACAGTTGATTTACAATTCTCATCTAGATGATCTGATTACACTAAAATCACACCAAAATGCACCAGATATGAAAAAAGTTGATGTGAACTAATTTTGGTGTGCTGAAAATTAAAAAGACATTAAAAAATGTTGATTAGCTCTAGTTTTCAAAACATACACTACTAGTTTACTTAACTGGGGCCAAATTATATATTTTGCATAACTGTTGTGGCTGGTTGCCTTTTTTCTAATGACCAATAAAACTGTAACCAGAAGTTGATGATGCAGTCCTGCCTATGATGACATCCCTTTTGTGTATAAATATTTTATATCTACCACATTTGCCATTATTAGCTAGTGTCTTAGTCTTTATTAATACTGCCAATTAGAAATTCCTAGGGCATGTGGGAAGAGCATTGATAAAGTCTGTTATATATGTGGTGAGGTGACATTTCTCTCACAAAAACGAAATATAACTAAAGTGATTAAAAGGGCGTAAAGTTTTTTTTTTTTTTGGCTGCAGAATAGGAGATCAAGAAAGAGCTGGACGCCACACATATGCTGCAATTCATGTGCAGCAAATCTTAAACTGTGACTAACTGGCAAAAGGTAAGCTATGTCTTTTACATTTCCCAATGATTTAGAGAGAGCCCACTGGGAAAGGCATATTAAAAGAACAAGAATAGGACTCTGGAGTATCCTAACATCCTCTCTGCAATACATACAGTACCATATGACGATGTTCTACCAGTACCCAAGGTGCCAGAATTATTTTCAATTTCTTCCACAGACGAAGAAGAGGACATTGGTGGCCTTGAACCACTAACCTCAAGCAACCCAGATTTTGAGCAAACTACATCCAATAAACCACACTTAATAATCCAAAGTAAACTGAATGTTTTTGTAAGAGATCTAAATTTACAGAAGAACAAATCCGAGCTTTTGGGTTTCAGATTGCAACAGTGGAATCTTTTGGCAGAACATGTTAGAATTCCTGTTTATAGGAACTGGCAGAAGCCACTTATTATATTTTTTTTTTCCAAAGAAGAGTACCTTATTGCATGCCACAACATTTCTGGATTAATGGCAGCCCTCAGAAATCACTTACAAACTCGAAGAGTGGAGGCTTTTTATTGATTCATCCTAGTCGTGTCTTAAAGTTGAATAATGGTAATGTATTATCAATTCCAGTTGGTCAAGCAGTTCACATGAAAGAAACTTATGAAAACGTTAAGCAGCTTTTGAAGTGTATAATCATCATCACTGGTCACTTTGTGGCGATTTAAAAGTGGTTGCTGTTTTGCTTGGACTATAGGGTGGAGACACCAAGTACTACTGTTTTCTCTGTGAACGGGATAGCCATGCACGACATAAACATTACTGCAGAAGGCATTAGCCAATCGGGCAGTCTGTGCAGCCTGGCAGTAAGAAGGTCGAAAACCCTGCACTTGTCCACACCAGCAAGATTGTGTTGCCACCTTTGCACATTATGCTGGGTCTCATGAAAAACCTTGTCAAGTCAATGGAGAAAACAGAAGATGCATTAAAATATTTCATCTAAAAATTTCCAAGACTGAGTGAAGTAGAAATGCTGGTCCGCAAATTCTAAAACGTCTTTACGAAAAGAAGTTTCTTTGCATGTTGCGAGGCAAGGAAAAAGCAGCATGGCTAGCATTTAAGTCAGTGGTGGACAATTTTCTTGGAAACAACAGATCTGATAATTACAATGAGATTGTAGAAAATCTCCTTCTGAAGTATGAGAGACTTGACTGCAACATGTCTTTGAAAATTCACGTTCTTCATTCTCATCTGGATTTTTTTTTACGTCAAACTGTGGCGCTGTCAGTGATAAGCACGGGGAACAACTTCAACAGGACATTGCTGCTATGGAGACAAGGTATCAAGGCAACTAGAGCCCTTCAATGCTTGCTGATTATTGCTGGACTGTGACAAAAGATATCTTAACGAATGACTATAAGAAAAAAACGAGCCAATTATATTAGAAATCAGCATGTCAAAATCAATCAGAATTTATATATTTAAATTCTGGTATAAACTTTTAAAAATTTGTTGACAAGTATTATCTATACAGATACTTCTGTGTTGACAGGGAAGAGAAGTGCTTGGGGTTTCATAGCAAAAGCCAATGGAAAATCTTCAGTGCAGGACAGCCTAGCATTTGAAACCACAACAGCTATCATGAGAATGGAGGTGGAGGTGGTCACTGCAGCTTTCTGGTGGCTACAAAACAAGATGCATACACATGTCATAATTGTAACAGACTCTAACTGACAAAGGTGAAGACAGGGTTGCTTCGAGCAGTGTGGCAAGCTTCACCTACAACATTACAGGAAGTGAGCATACTTTGGATCTTTTCTCCAGGCCATTCCAGCGTGACGGGGAATGAAAAGGCAGACCAATTAGCTGGATCTACACCACTAGATGGTGAATTGATACATAACATAACAAGGCAGATGTGTTCAAGGCCCTTTGGGTACAAGTAATGAAGTCAGAAGACAAACTGGATTATTACGGCCTGGTGAGAATGATGCACCTTGGTGAGGGTATAGCCGGCTCACTGCACTTAGGGAAAAAATCAAAATAGACATATAACCAGACTATGACTAGTTCCATTAGTATTAGAACTCTGCACTGGCTGCTGAAGATGGGAACGGAGCGTGTATGGGAATGCCCTGAGTACTGTGATGCCAATCCTTGACTCAGCTCAACACATATGTAATATATCAGAGATACAACGAAACTACAGCATTACTAAATTAAGTACAGTCCTGGGAAGTAATGGCGGCCGGCGTGATGCTGGCTAGGTCACTCACTTACTTAGTGACTAAGTGCCAATTGATAAAATATAGGTCTAGCCATATGCTCATACACCTGAAGTGGCGAGAGGGGTTCTTTGCTTACTATATTATTCTGTAAAAATGTCAGTTAAGAATCTAATCAATTTGGCTAACTACACTACAGTGACTACACTAGCTTGTAGACAAGTCGTAATTTAATGAAAGTATCGTAACTAAACAATCAAGAGTTAAACATAAATCTGGTCATCGAATCCCGAGGTTGCTAGTCAGACATTTTTTATTTGTTAGTTATTATAGTTTTGTCTATTTACTAAAGGCTAGCTGGCGTATCAACGTGCAGGACAATTGTTGATTAAAAATAAATAATATTTAAATACTCTTCTAGACTTGGTAGACACTTTAATCCTTTCTTATTCTGTGAACGAAAAAGAAACCGTTTCAGTCCATGTCCTCACTTCTACTTCTTTTTAAGCCGCGAAGCACCAACTTTCGGTTTCAATGTCACAACTTACGGAACAAATTATAACATTTGATGCATGAGATATTTGAAAACTTTTTAAAAGATATTAAATACTTTTGCCAAATGTAGTTGTAAAATTACTTAAATATAAATTAATAATAACATAAGAATACTGACATTTTAATTTAATAAATAATTCTGGTTTAGATTTATCATGTCATGTCCTCCCCTCAGTTCATACTTTTAATTTGCTGGAGACAGATTGTCAGGAAAAAAGATGGCGGCGCGAATGTTGTGCAGGCTTTCAATGACAAACGATGGTCCATTGCCTTCTGTTTCAACTCTACGGACCATTGCACGAAACTTTAACAGTACCTCCATTTGGGGAACTAAGAAAAGTAATTTTTCATTCTGATTTTTTTAATACCCATTAGCATGTCATGAAGACATTTATATTTAAAAAATCTAAAATATATAAATATATATTAGTAGGTACTTCAGTCAAATTTTTAAAATGCCCTCTACACCAATAAAACCAGCACAGTTAGATAGCTGTAAACAATCTCTTTCCAATGGTACCTCATTTAGGCTTCTATGTCATTTCTGAGTTGAGATATGTAGGTTTTTGTGGAGATGAGATGTAAGAAACAGCCGCTAAAACTTGTGACCCAGAAACAAGAAGTTTTTTGACTGCGCAACCTACTGCGCAGTTCTGTATCGGCTTTGTTGACATTGGACTGTCATTGGACAAGATGGCAGGCAGTGAGACTCAGCTCACTCAGCCGCATGCGATTGCCTAAAAAACGTCACTGTAAATCTAAACAGCCAGAGTCGGTAAAAAAAATTTAATATGCAAATGTAAAATTGGACGGAGAATTCAACTGTAACTAGCATTACCACAACTGGTAATGTTTAAGGCCTAAAGCCAACCTCGAATTTACCGCTATTTTTTAATCAAACTGATGACTAACAGAAAAACAGAGGAGTCCGGCTGTCGTAGACATGCGCTGTTAATCGGGTTCCCCCACGCTGTTTTCAGCTATTTATAGCTGGTCCAAATTCCCACCAATGGCAAAATTTCATGAGAGATTTGGACCCATACGGAAACCAGCCGAGATTTCCCGAACAAGTTCTGAACGGTTTCCGGGTAACGGAACTTGCCGAAAAGACCGCAAATTGTCGAAACTGTAGTCCCTAATATTAGTTGTTAGGCTATCGCTATCTTCCGAATAGCGGTCGTAAATTATCGAGGAGGAAAATATACCCTTACAGTAACAGGTCCTCAGTCACGTGTCAGTTACGCACTTCCGGGGACTATAACGCCACCGCCAAATTGCGAACTTCCGGCAACTTCCGCCACCGACGAAGGTGTCCCCCACGCCGCTCACTAGTTACTTTAGTCAAATTTTCAGCTCTCCTAGCAGATTTGGCCGCCAAGCTGGACTGCTTCGGCCGGCTTAGTGGGAGTTATGTCCCTTCGCCAAACTCAAAACAAGTCGCGGAAAAAGTCACGAATCAAATGACATACTTACCTATCATCATCCGGGTGCATGTAGGGTTGCGTAGGGTGTCTATCATCGTCCTACGGTTGCGTGTAGGGCTGCTTATTGCGTGTAGGTTGGCTGTTTGCGTAAGATGAGGGTTAGGGTTAGGGGTATAGTTCGATTTGAAAATTTTCACGTAGGAGGTCGAAATAGTGGCCGACAATCTGACGTTTGTGGGAGTGGCGCCACTGAAACTCTGCCAAATATGACGCCGTAGTTACCTATAATCGCGCACAGTCGCATGCACGCGCAAACAGTCGACGGGCGGTGGATGCTACTGACACGGACAATTCGCCAGTGACGTCATAAGGATCGTTTGTGCACTTTTTCCATTGCATTGAAAAAGTTGGTGTTCATTTCTGTTGGGTTGCTCCTGATGGTGTCGCTCCATCTCTTTCCATTGCTCTGTATTCATTATATTTCTTCAGCGTGTCTATCTGGGGCAGTTGGTACCAGGGCATTCTCATCAGGTGGCCAAACCATTTCATTTGTTGTTTTTTAATGAATTGTATGACTGGCTTCAGTCCCAGTCTTTTTCTAATTTCTTAATTCCTGATTTTATCTCTTCTTGTCATACCGGCAGCTCTCCTAAGACGTCTCATCTCTGATGTTATGATCATCTGCTCATTATTGTAGTAAGAGTCCATGTTTGGCACTGGTAGCACAATGTTGGCCAAAATATCTTTTGAGATTTGCTTTGGTTGACGGAGGTATCTTTTTATGCGTCAGAAGCTGTGTTAATTGCCCCATAATCTTATTAGCTTTCGCACATCAAAAGTTGTTTCCTCTATCCATTCTTCCATCTGAGATGAAAAATGACCCTGGATATTTAAATTTGCTCATTTGTTTTATTTCTGTGTTATTTACTTTAATTGATAGGGTTTCTTCTTGTCTACCTATTACCATTAGTTAGTTAGTCTTTCCTCTTGTGTCGAGTGCGGCACATAGGGCAGAGGTCGCGACTCTCCATGCACGGCGGTCCGTTGCAATCCGTTGTAGGTCTTGGATGTTTGAGTGGCCCATGAGCGAGCCTTCCCTGATGATAGTTCTACGTAGGGTTTCCCTTGGTCTTCCACGAGATCTTTTCCCCTGTGGTGTCCAAATGAGGGCTTGGTAAGGAAGTCTTGATTTATCCATTCTAAGGGCGTGGCCGACATAGTTCCAGCGGCGTTTTCGTATAAAATTAGACACATACTCTTGCCTGGATTCTTGCCTTATTTGTGTATTGGTCCTATTACCATTGCCTCTGTCTTATCAGTGCTTATCCTCATATTTTATTTCTCACACTAAGTATTGACTTAGTCTGTATGGTTCTATAAACTCTCTTCTGTTTCAGCTAGTAATATTTGGTCATCTGCAAATAACAATTCTGAGATATAACTCTTTTCTTCACTCTCTGCTTCTGTTCATATATTGTCAATGTATGTATGTGTAGTACACCATTACACGGCATAATAGCCAATCGAAGCATGTATAGCACAAGATCATAAGCACTGAGATATTGGACATTTTACTAAACTGTCATAGATTACTTAGGTGGCTAGGAGGACACAAATTGAGAATAGTGAAGTAAGACCCTAAGGGCTACACTGTTGTGAAAGATATTTAGGTCATTCTCTACTGTGAAATACAGATGTAATGTATAACTCATCTATTTTATAAAAGTGAAAATGGACGGCTTTGTTGTGTGCCTAAACCTAAAGTCACGTAAAATGCTTTCTTGTGGAACCTCCATAGTAATTGTCTAAATTTTTTCCTTGAAAATGTGTTTTTACTGTAGATGCATTTTCATAATTTAGGAACATCAATTATCGATTCAAAATAAATAAATGTACGTAATATTATTTTGTAACATTGCATTATCATCCACAAAGGGTGTGTATGCAAAATGTGAGCCTGATATTCGATCAGGAAATAATGCACAAACTGAAGGCAAAGTTTTGACTTGACAAACAAGAGTGTTCTGAACTGTTTCAGTCCCAGAAGGTTTAGCATCAGAGACGCAAAGGGTGGTAAAGAGAAATTAAAGATCGGTACTCTGCAATGAGTAGGGGTGTAATACCTCGTTGTCTAGTTGGTTTTTGTGTGTGTGTCGTGAATGTTCTTATCACACACTCTACGTTACATAACTGGTTTCTCACGCATTCACTGACCAGACTCGGCTCCGATATATCAGGTTGATCTTTTTGCCATTACACAGACTGGCCTGGTTGATCTTGACTTCACACTTTGTCATCAGGGTCTCCTTTCGCAACAAGCAATCTCACGTTGACATTCTTACGCTCAGTCTCCCATCCTCTCACTCCAACAAGTCGACACAAACTAACTTGACCAGAATCAAGTCTGACTTATACCACGGGTTAGTTTCACGTGGTGGTCCTTTACTTCCACGTGGCGACCTTTGATCGCGTCATTGTGATACACGTGATAACTCGTGGTTGTCACCTATCTCAAGATCCTCGTTTAATCCGAGTATCTGGAATATCTCAGTATTTTGGGTTATCCATGGGCCTACCCCCCAACCTTCCTAATGTGGGTGAAAATATCCACCATTACACATTCATTGGCTTGGGCTTCTAGGCAGGAACATATAAATGATGCGTTCCTTGGAACTGGAAGAGTTAATAAAAGCTTAGAACAAGAACTGTTGACAATTTCTGGAAAGATGGGTTAATAGTGAATGAAAACATTGAATCCAGTCACTCCTGTATCAGAATGCAGGAATAATTATGAAAGACCATAACAGCGAAACAATCCTTTTCAGACATAGAGCCCCTTAAGGAATATTGTCTCTCAGCTTGTTGCTTGTTTTATCATTGATTTCATTATTGACTTGTCATGAAAGGAAGACCTGCACAGTTGCTGGTGTGTGCAGAACATCTATCAACAATAAGGGAATATCAATGGCAGAAGTCAATACTTTCTAAACAAAACAGTTTGTTAAATAATAAAATGTAGGCTTTTATTTTAACAAGCAGATATACAGTAACTAATGGTGTTGGAAGAAACCTGACTAAACGTTTTTATTTCTTTTGACAGTTGATGTATCTAAATCTGGCAACACAACAGTGGTAAGTTCCAGACAGCCATAAACTTACCTTTACATAGTCTGATTTATCCTGCATCAGAAACAGGTTTCATATATGTATTGTGTACAGAAATATCAGTTAGCATTGAGGTAAATAAAATAACATGTATTGATCAGGAAGACAGGACTGTAGTAGAAATATGTTTGACATGCTAGACAAGGGCTGCAGCTGATTTTTCTATCAGTAGAGCCATCACCTCACCATTTAGGTTTCTGCAGCTGATTTTTCTATCAGTAGAACCATCACCTCACCATTTAGGTTTCTGCAGCTGATTTTTCTATCAGTAGAACCATCACCTCACCATTTAGGTTTCTGCAGCTGATTTTTCTATCAGTAGAACCATCACCTCACCCTTTAGATTTCTGCAGCTGATTTTTCTATCAGTAGAGCCATCACCTCACCATTTAGGTTTCTGCAGCTGATTTTTCTATCAGTAGAGCCATCACCTCACCATTTAGGTTTCTGCAGCTGATTTTTCTATCAGTAGAGCCATCACCTCACCATTTAGGTTTCTGCAGCTGATTTTTCTATCAGTAGAACCATCACCTCACCCTTTAGTCTGCAGCTGATTTTTCTATCAGTAAAACCATCACCTCACCATTTAGGTTTCTGCAGCTGATTTTTCTATCAGTAGAACCATCACCTCACTCTTTAGATTTCTGCAGCTGATTTTTCTATCAGTAGAACCATCACCTTACCATTTAGATTTCTGCAGCTGATTTTTCTATCAGTAGAACCATCACCTCACCATTTAGATTTCTGCAGCTGATTTTTTTCTATCAGTAGAACCATCACCTCACCATTTAGGTTTCTGCAGCTGATTTTTCTATCAGTAGAACCATCACCTTACCATTTAGATTTCTGCAGCTGATTTTTTTCTATCAGTAGAACCATCACCTTACCATTTAGATTTCTGCAGCTGATTTTTTAATCACATTATCTCACCATTAGGTTTCTGCAGCTGATTTGTTGGAGTCATGTAGAACCATAATCTCACCGCTGTAGTTTCTCCAGCTAATTTGTATGTCTTGTAGAACCATCACTTCATCATTTAGGTTTCTCCAGCTGATTTGTTTGAGTCATAGAATCATAATCTCACCATTTAGGTTTCTCCAACTGATTTGTATGAGTCATATAGAACCATCACCTCACTATTCAAGTTTCTCCAGCTGATTAGTCTAGGTAATATAGAACCATTATCTCATCATTGTAGTTTCTTCAGCTGATTTGACTTGAGTCATATACACCTATCATCTCACATTGTAGATTTTCAACCTGATTTGTCTGTGTCACTCGGAGCCATTGTCTCACCGTTTTAATTTTTCCAGCTGATTTGTTTGCCAGGTTTACTTAAAAAAATTAATTTGGAACCCCATCTTTGTACACATTGATAATCCAAATTTCACTTCACATATGAGTTCTAGAGCTCACTCACACATTGTTTGTTCTTGCAGATAAAGGGTGTCAAGCTTGAACCAAAGACACAAGAGAAAGTGCGTACGATTAAAGCACCGTCTGGGTGTCCATTGTGTGAGTTTCAGAATACTCTGACATACACAGTAAGTGCACATGAATGTTTTCTTGTTTATTGCAAATCGGACCTAGATATTACAGATATATTTTATATAAATCAACATGATTATCACTGGCAAGCTTGGCACAATGAAAAAGACGAGTTACAAATTGTTAGACTATAGCCTTTAACAACAAAGAAAAGAGAATACTTAGCTGGAAAATGAAATATAACTGTCACAAATAAGTAGTGTGAACTAAGACATAAATTAATTAAACCAATATAAACATAATTTAACATAGATGCAGATTACTTGTTATTGTTATTATAGTACTTCAGTTGTTTTTTAAACTCTCTTTTTTTACAGATTATATTTTGTTGATAAAGATATTGATAAAAACATTTTTTAAATTGTTTTTTTAACTGCCTGTCTCCTTATATTAATCTGTCTTGTGATATTGTATATTTATGCATTTTCTATGCTGTATCACTTGTTCCTTGATGTGCATATACACAAAAATAAGTTATATTTCGTGGATGCAAAAATATTCACATTCAGAGGTTCTGAAGAGGGTAGGAATGAAAAGTTATATTGCTCATATAAAACCATACTTGAGGAGAAGAGACAAGTGGGAGAGTAACATTGAGAGATGGACTGAGAAAATGTACAACAAGTGTAAAATTACAGTGTAAGAGATCCATTGCTACCAACCTTCATTTTGGGGACCTGACCTGATGGATTGGGGGCTTGTTCCAAGCCCAGGTGAGATCTGACATTTACAACCAACACTTATCTCCAGCTTTGGTTTCAAATACTTCAGAAAATACCACACACATGACTGGAAGCAGAAATTGAGCTGAGCTTAAAAACACAATTTGATAGGATGTTTTAACAATCTAGATTTTATTTCATGTCCACGTCATTACATTTTGTTGACTTATTATTGATTATTGCAGGCAAGCTATGTATAGTCATTATTAATTTCCATGGTTTAGTATTGATATTACTGGATGCTAGAAATGTTCCAGATAAAAGGAAGGAAAACATTTGTGTTGTCAAAGTTCATCAGAAATGATTGGATGCTTAGGTTTGGTCTTCGCGTTTCTGTGTGCTGATCTGAAAACTGTTTACCTGCTTTCAGAATTAATGTTTTTTAATGATCATTCTTATATTTGTTTTGTCCATATAGGATGTGCTTATCTTACAACAGTTCATATCCCCCGATGGACACATCCTTCCAATGCATGTAACTGGGATGTGTTTTACAATGCAGTGGAAGCTGGACAAAACTCGTTGTTGTCTAGCAGTTAGACGCTTGCCTGCAGGTCGGAAGGTTGTGGGTTTGCTCCCTGGCGGAGCCAGTCTGTTTTAAAATATGAGCTTGGCTCCTAGGTCAACCCAGCCTTGAGTGGGTACCGGGTGCAGTCCTGGGAAGTAAAGGCGGCCGGCGGGATGCTGACAACATCACCCATCTTGTGCCGATTGGTCTATAAAATATAGGTCTAGCCCTGTATGCCCTACACGCCTAAAAGGCTTGGAAAGGGTCCTTTACTTTATGTATACACAAAACAGCATGGTTGGGAACTTATTTCGACTGTATTTGTACGAGACTCTCTTTCCCACCATTTAGTTTTCTGATCTTAGCTTTTTTTTTTTTTGTGTGTTACTTGTTTTTTTTTTAAAATATAGTTTGTCAACATAGTGTCCAAGACTAGTGCTGGAACTTAGTGTCTCTGGAGAGGTGTATTTGGATATATCTGGTTCATCATTCAGCACACCACTCGTGGATGTATTGATATCAGAGAAAATGGGTAGTTTTAATAGGTAATGAATGGGGCCCTCAAATCCAGTTATTCAGTACAATCACACCAATCATTTATACACACTTGTGACATACTGATGCCATCGAATTTAGTGTGTCTGATACTAAGTTCAAGCAATATTAGATAATTGCTAACATTGCCTTAAACGGCCATTGCAAGTACATCTATTATCCCAATTGACTTTGCATTGATATCTTCTTCTTCGCATTGACCAGCTGTAAATTCCGGCAGAAAGTTCTGGTTGTTTGTCCACTTCTGGACAGTAGCCCTGGTCCAGAACCTGAGTGTTGCATGCACATCCATTTTACAGATCTAACTTATTTGTATGCAGACTGTTGATTACTAGATTCTTAGGAAGGAGATGCACTCCAACTTGGAAGGAAACAATCCTAATTAGTTGACTTTTGTAAATTGCTTCTTGGGGAGCGGAAGCTCTATTCCTCCCCTAACCACCTCCTTTTTCCCCTGAAAATAAGGCCCGCAACCCACACAGCAGCAACTTAGCAGATCAAGATACTTCTTTTTCTGTGTGATAGCAACAGAGTGGTGTCAGTTTATGTGGGATATATGACAGCAACAAAGTGGTGTCAATTTATGTGGGACATGACAGCAACAAAGAGGTGTAAATTTGTGTGGGACATATGACAGCAACAAAGAGGTGTAAATTTGTGTGGGACATATGACAGCAACAAAGTGGTGTCAGTTTGTGTGGGACGTATGACAGCAACAAAGTGGTGTCAGTTTGTGTGGGATATATCTTCTTCTTTGCATTCACCGGCTGTAAACTCCAGTGGAAAGTTCTGGTTGTTTGTCCACTTCTGGACAGCAGTCCTGTTCCAGAACCTGAGTGTTGCGTGTGCTTCCGTTTGACAGATCTGTATGCAGACTGTTGGTTCCTTACCTCTCAGGCAGATGCACTCCGACTTCGAAGAAAGCTCCCAATTAGTTGACTCTTACGACATGCTTTTGGGTAGGCAGTGGGTCTATTCTTGTTTTTCCCATAGTAGGGCCCCGGAACCCACACAGGGATGTGGGACATATGACAGCAACAAAGTGGTGTCAATTTGTGTGGGGCATATGATAGCAACAGAGAGGTGTGGATGTATGTTCCTTGTCTCTCAGGCAGAAGCACTCTGACTTCAAAGGAAGCTCCCAGTTAGTCGACTCTTATGAAATGCTTTCAGGTAGGCAGTGGGTCTATTCTTGTTTTCCCTATAATAGGGAACACACAAGAGAACATTGATGTCATGTACATACTCTTGCATGTAGATGAGTTATCTCACCCTGACAGCAGCTCATGGCACACATTGTAACATGTTTCTGTACTAAGATATGTCTAGTCTGACACTTCCAAACCTGCTCTAGGACTTGGGGCACGAACATCAGCGGGTGATTTTGTTATAAGCATAACATAATCTCCTCTCCATAGGAAGCTCGTAAGTCAGAATCTAAATGTAATGTTTTCATTATTGCAGGTCTGCTGCCCAACTACAAACCAAATCTTCCTATCAATGAGGATCCAACAAAATATGATAAAAATTACAAGTGGAGAAAGAACAATGTGTATTATGAAGACTTTAGTATTGAAAACCCATTATAAACACTGGCAGAATGTTTGCTGGTGCCTTGTTGTTTGCTTTCTTAATGAAAGTCAGTAGTGTCAGTCTGGTGATGTCATTGAGGATGTAGTGGTGTGTTTGTGTGTAATATCAAATCAGCTGCTTGAAAGATGCAACAGTAGATATTTTTTGTGTTTGCTTCATTTGAACATTGAATAACAAAATAAGTGTGCCTGTTCACACAGGTGAAGTCAGTCAGTTATTTAAGGGTATTTTAATGTTAAATAAATAAGGTGCTCGCCTAAATGCCATTTGTTATTCCACTTACTTATTTCCTTGAATTTTGGTGTCTAGGTATATTGACACCTCACATTCAACCTAGCAGCATTTATCAGATGTTTATCTCCAGTGTGAGCATTCAGTGCATCAAGCTCATAAAAACACTGATCTAGGGCATAATTCAAATGTAAGCTATAAGATTTGCTATTCTAGTTGTTCAAAGCAGATAACATATTGTAGTTCTAAGACTTTGCTGAGAACTTAAACAGAATGAGGAATGTGGACTGGAAATTTTAATACAACTGGAATTAATAATAAGTTGAAGCTGAAAAAAAAAAGTTTTGCCCACATCACAAAAATAAGTTTTGAGAAAAAAAATATGGGTGGGAAAGATTTGAAGCAGTAAAAAGGTGATAGCAGAATGTGTAAAAGTGAGCTTGGAATTAATGTATTGTTCTGTAGGAACGTAATATAACTAATTGGTTACAATCTAGTCTGTCTTTCTGACCTCAGTTACCCCCTCATTGTGCCAGTGGTGGGAACATGGCCCTTTACTTGCCTTCATGAGCTGTTTGTGTTATGAGTTGGATTATTCTCACAGCACTCTGGACACATCCATGTGGCTCAGATATCCTTCTCAACATATTTATCAGCGTCACGCTTTTAAAATAGTGTCAGTCCCATGCTGGTTGACAAGACTTTGTCTGCGTCAGGTGTGCTTCTCATGCTTGGCTGTGCCGATCTTTACTGGACAGGCCATCTTCAATTAATGTGGCACCTGCCAGACTATCAGCTCTTTAATTACCAACAATTCCTGCATGCCCTGAGACAAATATGAAAGTAACTGCACACACAGGAGAGTTTTGCAATGACTCAGTTCACTGTCTGCGTAACCAGCCTGCCTCAGATCATACTCAAAGAATCACTCAGCGCACACACACACACAGAGAAATAGTGCTCTGACTCTAGCCACATGAAAGCTTGTGTCACTGCCATCACCTCCACCGTCATGCTGCCGGCAGTCATGGAAAAGGCACCGCTGGTTTCTTGAACTGTTCTGCCTGAAGAGTGATCTGTGAATACCCATTCCCTCTTATGTCCTTGTATAACGGACCCGTCTGTGAAGATAGCACATCTGTCTCATCTGACTTATCATAGATAAGCGCACTGACAGCAGTGGATTTCTGCTCCCAACAACAACTATCAAGCGTCATAACACATGAGAATGTGAGATTGGGCGCTTTAGATGCTGGTATCAATTTCTCACCTGGATGGATATCTGTAAGGCTGCAAACCTGATGTCTTCCTCTGCCCTACCCAGCCATGATTTGCCCCTTTTAAGCCTATTGCCCTTTTTTTTTTAATGAGCATCTGGTGCAGAGGGAGCTTCAGATTTGAGCTTATCTTGAGGTATACACGAGCCCTCCAGATCTTGATCCTGTAGTTCATGGGAAGGAAAGTCAAGAGGGTACCTCATTGCTACACAAGAGGTGTCTCCAGTGCACCCCAGAATAATGTGGATTGTTTAGTTTTGCACCTTCTCAAGTATTTCAGTCTAAGTATGGCTGACAGTGAGGATGGCTAGAGCATATTTGATGGGAGAAAGTGCAAGTCCCCAGAACAGAAGCAGTCTCCACTCCGTATTAGCAGCAGTCAGGGCCCTCATTGCTGACAGGCCTTTGCGTGCTTTTGTTATAACATGGTCAGCTTATTTATGTGTTCTTTAAATTGACTCACCTTCATGAGCAGTTTTTGTGTTCTGGCCCTTTACTCACCTTCATGAGCAGTTTGTGTGTACTGTACTTTTACTTACCTTCATGAGCAGTTTGTGTGTTCTCTACCTTTACTTACCTTCATGAGCAGTTTGTGTGTTCTGTACTTTTACTTACCTTCATGAGCAGTTTGTGTGTTCTCTACCTTTACTTACCTTCATGAGCAGTTTGTGTGTTCTATACCTTTACTCACCTTCATGAGCAGTTTGTGTGTTCTATACCTTTACTCACCTTCATGAGCAGTTTGTGTGTACTGTACCTTTACTCACCTTCATAAGCAGTTTGTGTGTACTGTACATTTACTTACCTTCATGAGCAGTTTGTGTGTTCTGGCCCTTTACTTACCTTCATGAGCAGTGTGTGTGTTCTGGCCCTTTACTTACCTTCATGAGCAGTTTGTGTGTTCTGTACCTTTACTTACCTTCATGAGCAGTTTTTGTATACTGTACCTTTACTTACCTTCATGAGCAGTTTGTGTGTTCTGTACCTTTACTTACCTTCATGAGCAGTTTGTGTGTTCTGTACCTTTACTTACCTTCATAAGCAGTTTGTGTGTACTGTACATTTACTTACCTTCATGAGCAGTTTGTGTGTTCTATACCTTTACTTACCTTCATGAGCAGTTTGTGTGTACTGTACCTTTACTTACCTCCATGAGCAGTTTGTGTGTTCTATACCTTTACTTACCTTCATGAGCAGTTTTTGTGTACTGTACCTTTACTTACCTTCATGAGCAGTTTGTGTGTTCTATGCCTTTACTTACCTTCATGAGCAGTTTGTGTGTTCTATACCTTTACTTACCTCCATGAGCAGTTTGTGTGTACTGTACCTTTACTTACCTTCATGAGCAGTTTGTGTGTTCTACACCTTTACTTACCTTCATGAGCAGTTTGTGTGTTCTACACCTTTACTTACCTTCATGAACAGTTTGTGTGTTCTATACCTTTACTTACCTTCATGAACAGTTTGTGTGTTCTATACCTTTACTTACCTTCATGAACAGTTTGTGTGTTCTATACCTTTACTTACCTTCATGAACAGTTTGTGTGTTCTATACCTTTACTTACCTTCATGAGCAGTTTGTGTGTACTGTACCTTTGCTTACCTTCATGTTTAGTTTGTGTGTTCTATACCTTTACTTACCTTCATGAGCAGTTTGTGTGTTTTATACCTTTACTTACCTTCATGGGCAGTTTGTGTGTTCTGTACCTTTACTTACCTTCATGAGCAGTTTGTGTGTACTGTACCTTTACTTACCTTCATGAGCAGTTTTTGTGTACTGTACCTTTACTCACCTTCATGAGCAGTTTGTGTGTACTGTACATTTACTTACCTTCATGAGCAGTTTGTGTGTACTGTACATTTACTTACCTTCATGAGCAGTTTGTGTGTACTGTACATTTACCTACCTTCATGAGCAGTTTGTGTGTGCTATACCTTTACTTACCTTCATGAGCAGTTTGTGTGTTCTATACCTTTACTTACCTTCATCAGCAGTTTGTGTGTTCTGGCCCTTTACTTACCTTCATGAGCAGTTTGTGTGTTCTGTACCTTTACTTACCTTCATGTTTAGTTTGTGTGTTCTGTACCTTTACTTACCTTCATGAGCAGTTTGTGTGTTCTGTACCTTTACTTACCTTCATGTTTAGTTTGTGTGTTCTGTACCTTTACTTACCTTCATGAGCAGTTTGTGTGTTCTGTACCTTTACTTACCTTCATGAACAGTTTGTGTGTTCTTCTCCAGCAGTAACATTCACCTGTCATCTGTACTTAGATGACATGATGCAACTGTGGCTTGGTTCTGACTGAAGGTGAAAGCAGTAATTTTAGTCCTTCAGTTTGTTTCTTCTCATTAGTAAACTTTTATACTGCATGTGAGGAGATATAGAGGAAGTGAGTGTATTCAAAAGTCATCATCTCTAGTCTGAGAAGAGCAGGGTATTGTCCTCTCTGTGTGTCCTGTTACCCAGGACTTTATCCATGATCATCATCCAGAGAATGATCACTATTCTTGCACAACGTATCACTGTCTGTATATCATCATTGGCTTGTCATTATAAAAAACAACACTCTCCGACATTTAAATTCCTCTTGCAACATAGCACTGTTCACTATATCACAGTCTTCGTGCAACAATACTTCTTCTTCCTACGGTCATTGCATTGTGGCATTGGTAGTCATTTATGTCCACAACCTTCTGGCGATAATCTTGTCAGCATCTTTGAATCGCTTCCTTTTCATTGACGATTTTAGGTGAGCAACAAGAAAACAGTCAGCCGGTGCCAGGTCGGGAGAACACTGTAGCAACTCCTAACTGATATTCTTTTTTCTTGACACTAAGTCAGCGCCAACAGTGTTCCCGACACGCTTTCATTGTTTATCGCGGCAGGCGGTCGTCAAAACTATATAGGGCGGAAACGTTTGTGCCACTCAAAAACTTGCGATGCCTCCATTGCGAGATCACCATACGCTTTATTAAGCAAAATGACTGTCTGTGAGTGTGACTTCTCCGGCAAAACACAAAATGTGACATTCGCGCAAGACCTCAAGGAAGGCCATTTGTAACTTCGACGATTTAACTTGCGCAAGACACACACGTCTGTAAATTCTGTTCGAGAATATGTGTGAAGGTCATGGTTGCCATGTCGTTTCTTCAAGGTCACCGTTAACTTATAAAACTATCATCTTGTCATAATTATTAATTAATCCAAACACGAGTCGACTATTCCGGTAACTTTTGAAGAAACTCCGTATGTTTTTTTTTTCAGCATCCGGTAATTTGTTGTGTGCTGCTGTTTACATCCGCTGTTGGCTGTTTGGGCGAACAGCCCTACCTGTCGGCAGACACCAGTTCATCACAGACTACAGTCACCTTCATTCAAGGACGGCTTCACGCTGAACTCTGTTTTTGTCATTTGTGGTTCCGTTCGAAACTCGGAGTGCTGTTTTTCAGCGATGCAAGTGTTTTTTTTTTTTTACACCTATCCTCC